ATTTGTCTCTTTCCTGCTCGGTCACCCTGCCACGGCCTATTTGGTGCACCCTGACGCGTTGTGCTCGTACGCAGGCGACACAGATCGGTACCGGCTGCTGATCTCGGACGGCTGCCACATGAACAGCCTGGCCATGCTGGGCACGCAGCTGACGCACATGATCCACGAGAACCAGCTGGCGCCAACACCATAATCCGGCTCAACCGCTACGTGGCCAATACGGTAACAGGGGGGTGCCAAGAAGGTCTTCATCCTTCTCGACCTGACGGTGCTCGTGCCGGGCCGCGGAGGCCAAGAAGATCGGCAACCCCGTGGCGTACTCGTCAAAAGCTGCGCCACCACCGGCGCCGGACGCCTGCTGCGGCGCCCTGCGCCGCCTCACTCGAACGGCGGACCTCCGCGGGCGCGGCCCGCGCCGAAGCCTGGCCGCCTTCGCGCCGTCCGCTGCGCCGTCAACGTACAAAATGTGGTACCGATCGCGCACTACTGACGCCCTACGCCAACAAGTGGACGATCAAGGCGCGCGTAAACGAGGCAAGGGCGACGTGCGCAACGTGGAGCAATGCGCGCGGCGAGGGCAAGCTCTTCTCGTTCGAAGCTGCTGGGATGAGAGTGGCGATATTCGCTGCAACGGCCTTCAAGGAGCAGTGCGACAAGTTTTACGACATGCTGGAGGTGAACAAGGTGTACTACCTGAAGCCGCGCGAACCCTGAAGCCCGCCAACAAGCAAGTACTGCGGGCACGATCACGCACGACTTCGAACTGACGCTGAACCACGACTCGCAGATCGAGCCATGCGGCGACGACGCCGGGCATCCCAGGCATGCAGTTCAACTTCGTGCCCATCACCGAGCTGCAGACCATGGATAAGACGGGTCTCGTGGACGTCATCGGCATCTGCAAGCAGGCCGGCGATCTGGACCGCATCATGTCGCGTAAGATGAACAAGGAGCTGACGAAGCGGGACTTGAAGCTGGTCGACCAGAGTAACCTGGAGGTGACGCTGACGCTGTGGGGCTCGCAGGGCCGAGAGCTTCGACGGCTCGGGCAACCCAGTGGTGGCCGTCAAGGGCGCCAAACTCTCGGACTTCAACGGCTGCAGCCTCAAGCGGCCTCAGCAGCAGCAAGATCCGGCTGAACCCCGAAATTGACGAGACGTTCAAGCTTAAGGGCTGGTTTGAGAACGAAGGTATCAACCTCGAGTCCATGTCCATCTCTAAGCGGACCGATCGGCTCGTGAAGTTCAAGACCTTCGCCGAGGCCAAGCTGGAGAACATCGGTGCCGGCGGCGAGGCCGGCTACTACAGCGTCTGCGCCACCGTGCTGCAGCTCAAGTCGGAGAACTGCCTCTACCAGTCATGCCCGAACGGCGACTGCAAGAAGAAGGTGCTGGACCAGCAGGATGGCACGTTCCGGTGCGAGAAGTGCAACCAGGCGTTCCAGGAGTTCCGCTGGCGGCTGCTCGTGCAGATGAACGTGGCGGACATGACGGGCAACCAGTGGGTCACCGCCTTCCAGGTGCGTATGTCTCAGACTATGGTCCAGCGTGACGGCGGGGTCGGATGTTCGGTGCCGCGTCCCTGGTTCACGGGCTTTGACCGATGTTAGCCTTTTGTGGAAGGCAAACATCGGTGTTAGCCTTTGTATTTGGTGAGTTGTTTGGGATGGCCTTGGTAGAAGTGCTGGGTGGCTTCGTGTCCTGGGCTGTCGTTGGCGTTCGCCGAATGGTAGCCGCTATAAAATTATTATTGCGTAGTTATATATTACGTTGCATACTACTTGATATCTTGTTTGCTGCACGATACGTGGGTATCGTGCAAGGTATCAGATTGTATAAATGGATTACCTTGTTGGCTTGCAGAATGTGTTGAGAAACCTTCATGTCAACAGCTACTGCACTATGCGTGGGGTGACGAAACCCATGCAGAAGCAGGTACTGTTCGCGCTGCCGCATCCGTCGGTTTCCCTCTTGTTTTGTTGGATATCAGGGTGTTCTACGTACCAGTTACATATTGTACCCCAGCGTTGTCCTTCAAATCTGTCCTGTGAGGAGGCCCAAGGGTTGCCGGTAATTTAGTGGTTAACGCGTCTGCGTTAACCACTGCGCGTGTAGGAAACCAGAGGTACGCGGCTCGATTCTCCCTCCCCCCCTCCTCCCCCCCCCCTCTCCCGGTGCTCGCGCTTCATGTCAGGGTGAGAGGTAGGCGACGCCATATAGCCTCAGCAGCTGAGTGGGTCGTAAAGCCCCATTGACACACACATGGGGAGGCCCGAGAGCCCGACTCGTGTCAGTTTGTCATCCTGTGTGTGTCTTTTGTGCGGAGTCTCCTGCGTGGGTACCGGGGTGTACGACATGTCTCTAGGGCCCGCCCTTCTGCCACCCGTGGCTTCTTCTCGTAGCCTCTGCACTCATGTAGAGTGATGCCGTGCGCGGGGAAGACGCCGCACATCACCCCGCGGCTGGGCACAGTATAACATCGCACCTTTGCCAGTGCCTGTGCTCTCGCGCACAGCTTAATGAATGGTTGTCATGTGTCTTGACCGTACACACGTCTGGTTCTGAACATCAGCTTCTGGCGCCTGCAAACTCTTTCGAGAAGAAAATTAGACCCTGTAGCATGGTTCGTTGTGACTCTTTTCCACGCAACCAAACCCTGATTACTGATTGCTGCTGAATTTTGACAAAATGATACGATAGATCCCAAAGGAAATTTTTACAAAATGATTCCATGGTTCCCACTGTTTGTTTTTTTTCTGCAGAACAAAACCCTGCACCTTCATCCCCACTTTTTCACCACATAAGACCATAGTCCTGGTTCCCACTTCGACCAAATAATACCATGAATCCTTATCTCCAATGGGTACTTAGCAGGCCTTGAACGTGGTTTCTTTCTCTCATCGACTCTTCCAAAGGCATGAGCCTTGGTTCACAGGTATCCCTATGACAAAACAGATTTTGGTTCTCACTGTTTCCCACAAAGTCCAACCGGGGGCACACAAGCCTCTGGTTCTTGTCTCTCAACCGCACAGTGTCGCAAGTCGCACCCAATAACCCAACTAGTCTCCGTTCTCAATAACTGAGGGTCACTCACCTCCGACGGGCCAAGCAGTCAGTATGCCTTTATTCGACCACCATTAATAAAGACTCACTGCTCGTTGAAGAACATTACCTAGGTCTGTGCCTCTGACAGCTGAAGCCACTCGCTCATTGTTTTTATTGAGAGAATGCAGGGGTGTCTACTTGTAGTCTTCTGGATTATTTTGCCGCAAACCGATTACTAACCTCGTTTGTCAGCAGTGGGCCGAGGTAACAGTGTGCAGGCGGTGCCCAGTTGCATGCCGTGTTCGACATCGGCCACCGACTTACGCTGGCGGGAGCCCGCCCAGATAGCGGAAGCTGCTTCTTGAACGGTGATTGGTAGTGTGTGACGTCACAGGGCGTTGACTGACGTCTTACGTTGACAGGAAACGGCCGAATCCGTGATGGGCGTGTCTGCAGATGAGCTGGGGCGCCTGCGCGACTCGGACATGGAGGCCTTCATGCAGGTGTTCAGCAGGGCCAACTTCAAGCAGTTCAACATGACGCTGCGCGCCAAGATGGAGACGTACAACGACGAGTCGCGCATGCGCGTTGTGGTCTCGTCAGCGACGGCCGTGTCGTCCGATTTGGAGGCCCACAAGCGGCGCCTGCAGGAGGAGATCACCGCCTTGGGGGGCCGGCTCGACAGCGTTAAGATGAGCGTGGACTAAGGAGGAGCGGACCGGACGTTTGGACCGTGCTGGGCGGTCCGTGTGCGTGGCGGTTGTAACGAGACGCGGCCGAGCAGGCCGGTTTGAGAGGGCCCGCCGGTCGTGGTGAGATTGGCTGGGCTGGGCGCCAGGTCGAGGCATCACGCTTTTGCAGCCTTTTGCCGAGTGAAGCGGACGTTATTGGTTTGAGCCGTTTGCGGTGTTTTTCTCAGCACGTCGCATGCGGGAAGCCCACAGTCGGCATTTCGGAATGATCAGAGCTCCGAGTGATGATGGCCGGGGTTTCTGTACATTCTTTGTCATTGCGTGAATGCGGACTTTGGAACAGTCGTGCAGATGCCCTCTTTCTGGGAAACGTGAGCTAGTCTTGGATGTCGCTGAAAACTTTCCAGCTGTCTCCTTTTTGTCCACATTCCGCGCTGGTTTTGTGCCAGGTGTCACGTGACGGACTACTAAGTTGAGTTCACGACTAAGACAATACTAAGTTCACGCACTCTGAACTTCGGTTGTCAGGCATGACATCCGCGCTATGTAATGCGTAGTGTTTTGTAATAAAGCACGCATGCCGTTAATATTCCTCGCCTGGTATATGATGTGATAACAGCGTTTGTGGCCAAGGGAACTGGGCCCGCTGTGTATGGGCACCAGGACTAGAGGCAAACTCGATACGGACCCCAAATCCCGCCGATCGTGGGAGCTGAAGCCTGCTGACGTGACGCACGCGTGGCGCACGGCTATAGCTCCGGGATTCAATACCGTTGCTGCATTGATTAATATATGCGGTGATAATATCATCAGTGATCAATGTATCCGATGGTAATAATGAGAGATGGAGTCAATTCCTAGTCCAGCGTTTCCGCGCTGTGCCGCAAAAACGTGCTCTCGGCTATCAACGGGGAGGTGTCTGGGCACCATTCTCCGGCACATGGCACGTTTGGTGGCTGACTGCATCAAAGCATGCAACGCTATCTTGAGCAGAGAAAGTGGACAAAGGGGACGAGATCAAGGAACCGCAGGGCTTTCCTGCCGCAGCAACTGAGCGCTCGTTAGCAAGGCCATCGAGCCGAACGCGACTCCGAAGGACTCGGCCGAGCTCCAGGCTGCCCCGTTCTGACCACCAGTGACTTGTGGTCCAACAATGGTGTTGGTATCTCCGAGAGAGGTGACGCCCTATTGATGGCGCCGTGTGTGCGGACTTGTACCGGGCTCGAAGTCGGGGTCTTAAGATTGTTCACAGTAACCTCACTGACCTTTTGTAAGGCTCGATTTTAGCTTTCAAATTGGCTGTTGTCTCGCCTCATTTCGCATTTCATGCATACACTTCGCATGGGTGCCATGACAAGAAGAAGAAAGGGCCGTGAATGTCCAGAGCGGTAGGTTGACTGAGGCGCGCACTGTCGAGGGAATAAGAGACTACCATATGCACCTACTAAAAGCCGACTAACGGCACAACTGGAAGTGCATGAAACTTTGTTCAGACCGTCTTTTCAAGAGTCCCAGATGTGCAAATGGGCGGCCGCCGTGGAGGTGTCCTCACCGATGTGGAAACATTAAAGACAGTTGGGTGGTTTTTTAACTAGGTACCTACTACAGTTGCCTTTGGAGCAGGTAATTCCCAATGCATTACTGCAACACGATGTCCGGAGGCCGAAATGTCCGTACAGCCTGTGATCTGTCTCCTCATTCAGGTATTTTCTGGTCTAGAACACGCAGTGACAGTTTTAAATGCAAAACGGGAAGTACCAATAACGGGTGTATGTCAAATTTTTGACTGAAAAACTGACAAAAGCAGTCGGCTTGGAGCCATACTTGACAATACGGGGTCCGACGGCGGGCTTCGGGTCCGGAAATTTGTACACGTGTGCGTTATCTTGTTTTATAGTTGCATTATGCCGTGTACCTCGCTATTGAATCGATTCCGAAATGTGGAAAAGCTAAGCATATGTTTAAGATGCATGCGCGGTGTCAGTTAGTTGTCATGTGACGTGGCAACATTCAGAAGACTTGCATTGTAGTGGTATTGAAATTGTGACTGCGCTGCATATACTTTTTTGTCAACGGATAACCTTATTTATCTGCGGCTGAAATGAAGGGTGATGTAAAGATATGTTAAGAAATGAGGATAGCTGTAAATACTTTTAAAGGGATGATGATGTTAATAGAGGAGGGATAATTATATTAGATTGCGTGTACCTGTTAAGTTTATTTCTTAATGCTTGCTAAATCTGTTTTCATGACTACCATTCTCGTCATCATTGAGACGTTTCCACGCACTCAGCTGCTGAGACTACGACGTCGCCTGCCTCTGAACCTGGCAGGAAACGCGGGCATCGTGGGAAATCGAACCCCGTACCTCTAGTGTTCCAGACGTGCAATGGTTTACGCAGACACGATGACCACTACGCTATCGGCACTCATGAATGAATATCATGGTCTGACCAAGACTAGAGCAAAAAATGACCAAAACTAAAGCAAGGGCGTAAATTACCCTGAAAATTGCCATTGAATGTAAGCAAGCTGATTGAAATTCGGTCTTTTTTCACACAAACTGGGCATTCAAATGCTCGTGTGAATCCAAAAGCGTGTCCGGTTGTGCGAATAACTCGGACCCGAGTGCTCGGCTTCAGCGCTAATATCTTGCAGCCCTTACGTAAATGCCAGACACTTTCAGTTGCATCCCGGCCGCTAGATGTCTCCCGTGAGCGGACGGCGCTGCCGCCGTTAGGTGACGTCATGAGGGTGGCCGCCGGTCCATTTGGGGCTCGACTGTTCCAGTACAGGTGTGGAGGCAGTGGCGTGAGCTGGGCGAAACCCGGCAAAGAAGAGGCTGCAGTGCCGTTGTTCCAAGGGGAGGTAAAAGCACTGTCATCTGTGTTAGTCCGGATTCTCCCCGCTCACCAGGATCTCCATCCTAGTGCGGCACAAAGGTGAGACCGTTTTACGTGTCACACCCAGCAAAGACGCTCACAGCTGCCCTGAAGAGAATTACGGTCGCAAATGGCTGCTAAGTGGGTCAGTAGCATAAGAGCTGACGCGGCTTACGTGCTGTGGAGTGAGTGTCCTCAGAGACAAGGTAAACAAGGGAAGCTTAAATAGCTTGACAGATGAATGCGAAAAGCAAATTGTTATTCGGATTTATGCCAGGGGTCTGAGAGCACAGATCTACGACATCCCTGGGCTGTTAGGAACGCATAGCAACCAAATGTTGGGATGGCGTTCGTTTGCATCACATTGTAACTGCGAGAGAGAGGCAATCCTGGAGCATAGTTTTTACGTGTTTTTCAACAGCCGGGAACAGGTGGAGCGGCGCTCATTGACTGGAACGAAGCGATGCCATTGCACAATCCCCACCTTCCAGCGTCCGGGCGTCCAGGTCCCGACAACTCCGGCCATTGCAAACATATTTTCAAAACGATGTTGCGAGCAGTGTGTTCGCGTTTGGCCCGCATACCGCAGGACAGGGGGTCGGTCGTCAGCAGGTGTCCCGACCGGATGCCGTCCCGGCGGCCGCTGAGGTGGCGGGCGCCGCCCCGCTGGAGCCCCCCAGCGGCAGCGTGACATGACGGCTTCGGCAGGGCGTGCGGCGGGCCCAGGCCGGACGCGAACAGGCTCAGACACACCAAAAACTGGCGCCGGCGGGGAGAGGCATACACGGCGGCGGGTGAAGTGGGTAACTTGCTGTGGGAAACATGTCAGAATGAGCAGCCGTTGATGGCAAAATGTAAAACTTAGGCATATCTCGACGAAGTTTGCGTGATTGCTGCCACACCTGGCACACGCGTTCTCCACCTCCGCACTCGACCGCGCATGCAAACACATTAGGCGTTTCAGAAACCTTAATCTACATTGGTTACAGCAGAGCAACATTAAACATAGCCGAGCAGAGAAAAGTCGTGTCGTAGTGGGGGGGACGGGGTGGCTCAGCGGTATTTTTAATCTTTTCAGTTCCTGGATTGTTATCGGTCTAAAAGTTCTCGAACATTTGTGCCTTTCCACTCCCTGGTTTTTAAGAGCACGCTCAGCATTCTGATACACGTGCCCACCCACTTTAAGTGTGTACTGGCGATTTATCTAGCGTGCTAGGAGAATCTGACCCTCCAAATTTTAGCTTGGACTTCTCGCAACCGTGGCCTGACATCATCCCTTCGCACCGCGTTTCCCAACCGCAAATGCTCTGCTCACCGGCAACTAACCTCCACGTCCACCTCTACCACAAGTCCAGATGGCGTTATTCCCCACGGTCTCGCTGCACTCTCGCCGTCCGGCGGCCGGCGGGTGTGAGCCCCGCGGACGGGTGGCCCTGGTCGGCGCCGCGCCGCTCCCCGAGCAGGGTTCTTAGCATCGGCAGCGCGCCCCGCCCTTATCGGGGCGCCATCGGCCGCTCAGGGACTGCGACGCCCAGTCGGCAGCCAGCCGCCGGCGCCGGTAACTGCGATACACCACCGGTGGCGACCGCCGGCCACGCCACTGACCCGTGTCGCCGGGCGGGGCTGGACGGCACCGCTGCTGGCGCCGCTGACGCGCGCTGTGGGGGAGGGGAGAGGCGGTGACTGACTGTCCGCCGCTGCCTGTGGGTAAGGTTGGGACTACGCCGCGAACAGGTGCGATGGAGGGTCATGCCGTCGTTTTTTGCTGGGACTTCGGAATGACTTGTGTTGATTGTTTGCGGGTTGGCGGTTACCTGTGTGCGGGTGCTGTTGGCGGCTGCCTAGCCACTCTGTGGGCTGCCCGTGGGCGGCGCAGTGGGCGGGCCGAAGGTCGTCAGCAGCAGTTGATCGTGGCGGAGGGCCCCGCCCACTGACCGGGTACAGTCCAGTCGGCCTAACCCAGCCAGCTGTAGGACAGACGGGAGGCGCGAACCTCAGCTGGGTGGCCGGTGTATTGCCCCGGCCTGGTCACGTTTTGGTCACACACCAAGTATGGCGCTGGTCTCATGGAAGTTACTGCGTCAATATTTGACATCACAAATCCGACTAAGTCTGACGTTTGGCGTTGCTGTTTTAAATGTTTGTGACTTTGTCTGTCATTGGGACGGCACGCAAAGATGGAATGGACTACATTTGCGACGTATACGAACTTTTCGTATTTGTTTTTTCAGCTCCTCCAACATTCTCAAACGTTTTCTCACACGGCTTATGCAATCCCCACGTAAGCAGCAGAGTGCAGGATGCAGCTGACTTGTTAAAGCACGTTGCTGATCGCGCAGGTTCTATCGAAGGCAGACGGGCAGAGAACACACATACCTAGCTTAATGGACAGGCTGGGCCCCGAATTTCGGTGTGAACAAGACAACGATTAATCGATCATCGAGCATCGCCTTCAATAAGGACATCAATAACCGTGTCGTGCTTTGCTTTCACGTTTCTCCCTGTCATGATGCCTCTCCTGAGGATCAGGAGTGGGGAAATCATTGAATACCATGACCATGCGGAAGGAAGACTTGAAGAAACGCTATTTATCGGGGCATCAGAGCCGTCATGAACATAAACTACACACCAGATGGCCTGTTTCTGGGCCATCGAGCAGTCTGGTATGGGCGTGGTGCTGACGTCACAAATGCTCGGTGGGTTAATGCTCGGTATATTAAGTGTGCATTTCAGTGGTTGTAGTGTAAGCAGTGCGAGTGGTTTTTCCTCAATGGGGAAGGCATTTCTGTAACTTTGGTGGTGGAATAAGTAAATTAACTGGAGTAAATTGATCTGAACGCACAATGCTGACAATAATTTTGGCTGTTGTGTGTTTAACACAACTTATTGCGCGTTGGCCACCCGACGAAGGATTGGTATCCCAATTCTAGCGTCATTTCTTTGGAATACTTGTGTTTCTTCAGTTATCTAAGACGCGAGTCATCATACTCCGTGTACTGCTAAAAACCTTCCGACTTACAGAAAGGCCAAAACTTATAACGACTTTTACCGCACGCGTTTTAATAAGTCGTGCTATCACATCAAACCCAAAAGTAAATATGAAGTGCTGCTCTGCAAATTTGAGCAGCGTTTTGCAATGTACGTATTCCTAGTCAGCCCAGCTTCGACCCGCTGTCTGCTCTTGGACTGCTCTTTGACGCGCCTTGGATGTTTAAACCTGAAGACAGTAGCACTTACTCAAGCGATATAGCTGTTTGTCTCTCGCTAATCTACTCCTGACCTGGATAGACAAGCACGTTCTCAGCGGAATGGGCTTTCAGCTGGCTCAAAGTCGTGACCAGCGATTTCGCTTCACGCGTGCCTCAAACTCAGTTTGCGTTGTCTAGTGCCACTGCGCGCAGTACTTTTTTAGGGCGTTTGTCTCTGCGTCGGTGTTACACACGGACAAGCGGATGCAGTTTGCTATACTGTACAGCTTTTTGAAGCCATCGCAATGCATGTTGCTACAATACGGTAGTAGGCGAACATTAGCGTCTATAGCGGGTGGTTCGAGCATTTTCACATGACATTCGGGGTCTTTGACCAAAGTCGCACGTGATGCCTTTCACATCATTTTTGTTGCCACCTCCTTGTTTTTTAAACCATATTTTTTAAAGTCACATTTCGAAGGCTGAATTCGTATTTCTGAAGTGTTTCCTTCATAGCTAGCGAAATTGCTAGGAGGTGCCCGGTGCGGGATGCTGGTGCTCACCGTCACCCTCGAAGCTGGCGCGCAGGTCAGTTGCCGTCCTTGCCAACCGGTGCGGGCCACACCGAACAATCCATTGCGCCAAAAGCTGACGGCGACCGGTGTGTCGAGTCCGAGTCCAGCCCCCGCCTGACTCCTGACTCTGGCGCCGGCCGGCCGGGCACGCCGGCGGACAGTCTGAGACCCCCAGACGTGGGGCACACAGGCGCCGCGGCCACCGGGCCTCGGCGGGGTTCTCCGTGACCCGAGGTGCATACGGAACACGCGGCAGAGCGGGCGTGCGGGTCGAAGGAGAGCCGCAGCAGGGCACGAGGCCTCCCGGAGGTCGCGCCGACCTTGATGATGAGGCAGTGGGCGGACGGAGCGGCGTTGGCCGCCCCGCGTCGGCCTGCATACCGAGTCTGCAGTTCTGGACGGCCTTGAGGGTCCCTCGCGGCGCTGCTAGGCCAGTGCAGTGTTTGGAAAGTGCCGTCATGGCGGAAAGACGGACCAAGGCAGCGGCGGCGTTGGAAGGCTGACATTGTTTGCCAAGTTCGTTCCGCAACATGGATGTCGCAGTTTGCAGCCGTTGGAAACACTGGTTTTAAGCTGACTTCTTGCCTGGTTTCGAGCTGACTTCTTGCCTGTTTTAAAAATGGCTCCTGCTGTGTGCTATGATGGTCCTTTTTGAAGACAGTGCAAGGTCAACGCCGGGTCAAATAACAATGCGCGGCTTTGACTGCGCCGATTCATTTACCAATTTTGTCAAGAGCACGACATTTGCAGCCATTTTTTTTGGGAAGCAGCTTCTGTTGAAGACCCTCACGGGTCGGGATAACCCCATTTGATCGCATGAACCCATTTGGAGTGGTGACAGACCGGGTTAGGCACATGTGCTGGGAAAATTCATGGGATGGATACGGATGCGGGTAGAAAGGTGCAGAATTGTGATGTCCACGCGCTAAATTTGCCGGCACCAAGAAAAGTCACACGAGTGTGCGCAGAACAGCACACAAACGTAGCCCAAACTATACAACAGACCACTCAAACACTGGAGTATTCACATAGTAGCCACAGGTAGAGGTGCTTCCACCTCTTTATCAATTTTTGACACACATGTGCGCGAGTAAATGTTGTTACCACCTATTTCTCTACAGACATGCAAGTTTGTGTACACGCAGAACATGCCATATTGTTTTCTTCTTCTATTTATCTGTGGGTCATTTTGGCCCTCCCCTCCCGGGCGCCCATCAGTCCCAGGAACGTCGGTCCCGAGGGGGTCCCTAAGGGGAGAGGGACACGTGTCCCCTGCGCCCCGCCACCTGCCTGGTTACCTGATGTCGGAGCGTTCGCAAAAACAATCCAGATGCCTTTCGGGCCATTCCATTCTTGATATTTCCGGTGACAGTTCGTGTGAATGCTGATTTTTGCGCACATTTCACGTTCAGCTTGGTCCAGCATCCGACAGAAAAAGCGACATGCTCCCTCCTACCGCCAACGCTGCCGGCACCTTTGCCCGGGTCCGCGGCAGCGTAGCGGGGCCGCCGCCAGTCGTAACACAGCAGCCCGCCGCGCCGAACCGCCGGCTGGTGCGACGCCGGCGTGGCACGGCCGGCCACGCCTGTTCGCGGCTGGCTGGCGCAGCTGGCGGCTGGCGCAAATGACGTGGCTGTCGGCGCCGCCGCGCCGCACGCTGTTACCCCACCGCTGCCGCCACCCGCCGCCGGTGGCCTCATCACGTCCGCACTTTCATTTTTTGGGGTCGCCGGAAGCGGTGTGACCGGGGCGCGTGTCGCCACAACGCCGATGGGAGTGCAAGGTGTCGCGGCGGTGCACCGCGTGGTGGCAGCACCGCAGCGCGAGCCGCCTGCGTTTATGCGCGAACTGAGAAATGTGAAAGCTTGAGGTGGTTAAATGTGGCTGAGTTCAGTGGCACGGTGATGGGATTAGAATAAGCCGATTAATCGAGGACGACGACCGATGCTCTTTGTTTTCTCTATGTTGACGTGTGGGCTTGGGCTGTTTGGTGCCACCCACACAACTTTTCTTGAAATTGCTGCGACGCAGTTGTTACCATTGTACTTATCAACTCCATCTAAATGGTGGGAAGTTCGACAGCTATCCCAATGTCTTCACATATTCTGATCCAGGTAAGAACAATTATAGACATTTTCCACTGGCACCGGCGCTTGTTAGGTACTGTGTAACGCAGTTTGTTGGCCCAGCGGTTGCCACCCCGTGCTGATGTTTCGACATCGTTCTGCTCTGTTTCCTGGTGTCTACAGCAACCATTGTTAGCATTCCGCGCTTGACGGACGATAAGGTAGATGGTGGTGCAGTTACACACATTTAAAGTCGTACTCAAATGTCACAGGTGTCACTTGGTTTATTCGGACACCCCGGACCGTATCCCGACCGCACCCTGTTGTGAGCCACTGCCAACTAACCGATAAACGGACGAAGGATGAGCTCTGTGAGTTTGTGAACCACTGGCGGCTGTCCACATGACCCGCCGTTCGGCCGCTCTCACGGCTGCCGTGCTCAGCGGGCGTTCTGAGCGCTCGGGACCTGTCGGCGCCGGTACTCGTGGGTTCTCACGGCGTCTCCGTGACGTCAGGCGCAGCATAGGCAAGGGCACGCTTCAAAGGAGGGTACGGGGTCAGGCTAGTGCTCAGCAACTCTACTCACCAAACCTGGCATTACTGCGACCGTCATCCCACATGTGGTACGCCAGACACCAGTGAGGCGGTGGACGAAAATAAGCGAAAGAATCACCGATGCTACGAACTCCCTAGCAACGAAATCGAATGGATTGCTCTCCACATACTCCGAAGTAAACGTGGACGTTACTGGTGCGCAACTCTTAAAGTTCCGAGGTCAGGTACTAAATATTTATCGCTTTTCCTTCTGAGAACTGTAAATTTTTAGGGACATAAAACATATAAGCTGAATGGAGCTTACAGAAAAAGGCACATTTCAATCTTAGCAAACACATGTAGGTTGAGGAGGGGAAAAACGTGTAAGTGAAAAGTTCAAATACGCAGCTTATTTAAATGACAACATCATTTTTAGAATCACAAACACTTATTGGTTAGTGCTCAGGCATATTGGGGTCGCCAAGCTTGAAAATAGCCCCGGGGGCGAATCTATTCACACGGAACGCCTTGCACTCTGGCGCCATGATGCTTAACAACACATTCTTGCTTTGCGGGCACTAAATACGGGCTGAGTATCTAATGCCATGTGAGTGTTTCAAAAAGTTTGAAAAGCAAGCGTTTCTGTCCTTTTCATTATATACTCGGATTGGTGCAAGAAAACAACGAAACGACAGTTAATAAAATACTTTTTTCTGTTCTTTAGCATACAAAAGTGGCTTCGCACACCCCATATGTGATGTTCCTCCACACCGCCAGAGCGTGTCACGCTTGAGCGATTGTCCAAGCCGCGATATTATGTACAGTTCCGCCGCCCCCGCCCACCGACATGGCTGACCAGGTGACCGGCCGGCCCTGTTGCAGGCTGCCGGCATTGTGAGCAGCTGATTGCGGCCGAGACGGTCCGCCATGGCTCGCGGCCCGCTGAGGTGCGCCGCGGTCCTGCTGCTGCTGCTGCAGCTGACCTCCCCGGCCGCCGGCAGAGCGTGAGTGCCGGCCACAGCCGAGCGGCGCCAGTCGACAAAGCCGTCCAGCCTTGCAGCCGGATGGCTTTGCCGCCTTTTCTGAGAAGCTTCCCTTGACGACGCTCGTTCAAAAGACGTTCTACAGAGGACATTATTCTTGATTGGGTGGTTGTTGCTTACGCGCATCTATAACAAACGGTGGCCATTTTCAGGAATTGGCGCCAGGCTATAGCACCTTTTCAAACATGCTGTATGGGTGCCTTAAATCATTTAAGGCGCATGACAGCGGCAAGGCCGACAACACTATGTACTTTACTATTCAACTCTCCTCTTCCCTATTTCAATAACGACCCACCCCGTCTCCTCCATGCTCTAATGTTGGCGTTGGCAAATGCCTGTTGTTATGATCATAAAGCAAAGCACTTACCCATTTGTTCCGAGTGCACTCAGCTACGTACCATGTCTTCACAAGTTTTGTTGACCGTTCACCTGTCGGCGATCGGAGCAGTAAGCAGCTAACACGCTGTGTGGACTTCGCGACCGTTTACGAGGGCAATGGTCCAGATGATTTTTACTTATGAATGATTAAGTCACAAACACCCCGTAAAATTGGTCTGCTTACAACCCATGCAAAATAAAAGGGGACACGAAATGAACCCTAGCTTGTTGGTATAGAGGTGCGTGATCTACTGCGTTCGATGTGCCCAAAACTTCCGAGACCGGTATAAAGAGCAATGAACTCATGCAACTGCTCGTGTAATTACCAAAGGCCCCATTGTGTGTTATGTCAGAAACTCGTATGCTCCACCATAATGATCATGAATTTTGACTTTCATCGAAGAAAACAAAATGAGCATTTCAAGAGAAATTCCTAAATATGCACAGCAAGCGTCTAATTCTTAAATATGCGCAGCATCCTGACAAATTGAAAATAAGTGTACAGATGCCCGCATGACTCGATGCCAAAGCAGAAAGATGCCAGTGCACTCTGTTTAATTATGAAAAACCCTATGATCAGCCTCAGTGCTGCATAACCTATGCAGCATTTGTTCAATTAATAAATCAATAAGCAGAGCTGGGAGATGACAATGCGTAAGACGCTCCGCACGGTTAGGCAGCACAGACGCGATCGCGGCTAGCCCATGATGGTGCGATGCAGTCTCCTTCGCGTTGATCTTGTGTGGCATTGCAGTCTCCCAGGAACGTTACCATCAACAAGACTGGAGCTGGGGTGATTGTTTCAGCTGTAGAAACTGGAACCGGTTAAAAAATTGGTTACTGGTCGCAAAAAAACGGGTAACTACAGCGACTCAACCTATCACAAATGTCGCTCCAGTGGGCATGAATGTGCAATTCTGCTTTGACGAGGATTTTACTCCGCACGCTGAGAATTGCAAACCGTCTTCGTGCATCCACCCCTTTTACAGCCGTGCCGCCACAATCCCCATGAACTCTGTCTACCAGCCGTGTTTTGGACGGGGCCGTTGACCCCACGCGCCGTGCGACTCCACTGACCTCAAGGCGCCGCGATCCGAGGCCGCGCGCGTCGCCATGGTGACGGGACGGGACGGGCCAGACGGCCAGCGCGCGCCGCTTCGTGCGCTCCGAACGCGCACCGGATGTGACGGCGGGAGGCCGCTCCAGCTAGCTGGGCGGTGTCCGTTAGCTGACGGTCGCCGCAGTGGAAGACGCTCCAATGACGTGTCCCTCTCCCCCATCTCTATCGGAAAGATGGGTATCTCTGTGGCACCTTTTCATGCTTCCTATGATGGTGATAATGAGGATCATTTATCGGCATGACACGTCAGCACAGTGCCGGAGTGACTGACTATTATATAGTGCTTTAACGCCTAGGCGCTGCAACGTAATGACACCCGACCCCAGCCTGCCTTTGCAAGCTGGGGCCGCAGCCGTACCCCCGGGCACCAGTGAAAGCGCACGCCACCAGAGGCCTCCAGCAGATGACCTGCCAGGTAACCTGGTCCGACAGCTCCAGCACAGCTAGTGCGCCGGATGCGGCCCCTCTAGAGGCACTCAGGCGAGGCAGCCGTGCGCGGACCCATCCTGACCGCCTCCAGGTTTCTGCCTGACGCGGAGAATGAATGTAAGGTTGAAGCGCACAGACGCCGTACCTCCGCCCGGGCGCGGTCGGCCGGGGCCGGAGCCGTCTCCCCGGAGCGCCCGTGCACGCGCCCGCGAGCGTTCGTGTGACACCGCGAGATGCTTGTAAGCAGTCGCTGTTAGACCATCGCGTGGTCTGGAGTCCTCGACCGGCCACGCGTCTAACGGACATGTATGATGGTGAAAACAACCAAAACACTGAGCGACACAGACTTAATCGCACCAACCCCAAAAGGCGGCGGAATTCATCACAACATTCTCTCGGAAGGCAGCGCCATCTTCTACCACACCGTCTTCCAGACGTGTTCCTCTTCAGTTTGGAGACTCTTGAGTCCCCCAAGCTTGGGCTCTATTCATCTCCAAATTTTGGCAGGGAAGTCGGTCAAATCCCGAGATAACCCCGCTTTTTGGTGTATGTGGGGGTAGGTTTGTAATCTTCAACTGCTCAGCCCTCCAACTTGCTTTGCGGAGCTACACCCCTGCCATTCATATCTGTTTGAGTGAGGATTCATTGGCGGTCTGTGCTACCAGTGGGTACGCGTATGGACAGCAGCTGGCTGGCTGGAGCATCCGCTGCATCGACAACAGCCACTGCATCTGCATACTGCAAGGTCGAGGGACAGACTGCAGCGAAATGTCAGGGTCGGCATCACCACAGCATTTCATAGGAAGACTTAAGGGGAACGGCTTAAGGGGCTCCACAGAGGCTAGCTCCTTGCTGAGCCTTCCAGCGGGGTTAAGATTATGGAATTCTTGTGGAACATTTGCCCTTAAATGACTGTGTTAAGAGCCGTTCAGATGAGCGTGGTAGACAGTAGCTCCGTGCGTAGTTGAAACATTGATGTAAGCAAAAGTCGTGTTGATCGATTAATACGCTATAACCTTTCACGTTAGCTTCAAATATTGTTGTGGACACGGAGAGCTGTGCTAGGCATGAATCCATTCTGATTTAAGCACATGATAGACATCTGCGGCCATTAATTCAGTCAGCACTTGGTCCCCAACGCCGTTACCGGGACCAAGCTTTTGTGTCTATTTTTGAACTTGAAGCACAGCCCTCCCAATTTGACAAATCTGATAGGTAGCCCACCCAATCAAGCACAGTCCTCCCAATCTGAAAAAATCTGACAGGTAGCCCTCCCAATCACGAGCACTATGCTCAGCAAACATCCGATCTATCTAAACAAAAACGGTGTCAACACGGGGAGCGGTGGCATCTGGCTACTTCAGTTTGATCGACACAAGACTGGAGGCCCGAACAGGCTTTTTTAACACAGCCCCGTGTCCCAGCTCCAGAACCTGATCTCTACGATTCAGGATGAGTCATCCCATGCATGTGTGGCGGAAAGCGTGCCACGTCACGATGAACTCATCCCCCTGCGAAAAGACGCCTTCGTCACTGATCGCCGCCTTACCAGTGACGTCATTTCCTCGTGTAACTCTAGCAGTCCCGTGACACAGATTGTCGCATAATGGATGGATCATTTGCATATCGCAGCCTTAGCATGACTGCTCATTGGAAACATGAGAAGGCGATGGATTAAGAATAGAGCGAAGCATCTGGTAAAATATACATATATGCATTTTATTAGGGCCGAAATGCGGAGTATGCCAATTGTGAGGTGGGAACATGAGCGCGTTTTGATAAAAAGGTTACTTGCTACTACGTAGCACTTAAGGACTGCTGCTATTTCTACAGGCGGGGATTGGCTGAAGCCTCGAGCCTGCCCTCTCACCGCGCCCTTTTTCGCTACAGACGCTCATCATTAGGATGGCATCAAGCCTGATCACCAGACCTCCTGGTAGCACTCTCTCTTGAAAGCGCTCGGCCGTGCTTGTGCTCGGCTGTGCCCGCTCCTTATTCGCCTGTCGGATGATCTGCAGGCGGACCAAATTTCAGCCCGCTCATCTTGCACCGATGCCGCTCAGTTAGCCGGCTGCTGCACCACTCGTTGAGCACTGCTCAGATACCTGCACCGCCCGTAGAGCCCTGCCCTGATACCTGCACCGCCCGTGGAGCCCTGCCCTGATACATGCACCGGCAATAGAGCCCTGCCCTGATGCCCACATCAGCCGAAGGGCCCTGCTCTGTTGCATGCACCGGCCATGGAGTCCTGTTCTAATACCCGCACGGGCCGTAGCAGCCCGCGCGGCCCGTGCCGAAGCGCGAGGCGGTCGATGACGCACGCCGCCGCCTGGCTCAGGCTGGACTGGCGGCGCGTGCCGGCACTCCCCGGCCGCCGAGCGTCGTGCGTCACGAGTGCTGAGCCGGCGGTTGCGGCGTCACGTGTCGCGAACCCCCGCCCTGACGCCAGCTGGGCCGTCACTGGAACGACCACTTTTTGCGCAGTGCGGCCGGACTCCTGGAGCGTGCATCCGACCGTCGCACGACGTCAAGCCTAGTGCCTGTTTGCCTTTTTCGAGCCTGAGCTCACCTCACGCCGGCCATCGCAACAGGAAGTTTGGTTGTCATGTGATGTACAGATGACTCGGGTGTAGCTTATTTTGCAAACACATTTTGAGATGAGTTACTAATGAAACTGCTCGCGGTCCCAGAACCGCTTCCTCAGCTAAGCTGGGAGACTGGGGTCACGAACATGATACGAAGTTTGAAGTATGGAGCTCGTAAGGTCGTAATGCGGGAGGAAAGCTTAACATCCATGGGGCTTGGCAGCCAATTAAGTTACCAAAGAGTTGACAAAATCATTTGTTTGTCATTTCCTCATCATGGCTCATTTAAACAAGTTGTGGAATCTCGGTTGATTGAACCAAATGGCTATTTAGCACAGAAAAGAAATGATACGCTTTAGCGAGACAGTTTATCAGTGTCGAACCTTAAGTACCCTTTTGGATAAAGTGGACCAGACGGCTTCCATTGGCAAAGGAACTACATATTTCATCAGAATATTTGATGGCCAGAATATTTGATGGCCAGAATATCTGATGGCCTCAAAATGAGGATTTCATGGCCTTTGATGGCTCAAAGAGGACCCGAGCACAAAGGAGCCCCTTCATTTGATGCGTCTTGACAACTGGACATAAAATATTCTTTCAACAACGAAGCTCATTACGGGTGTCCCGCTTCACATGTGCCCAATAGTCCCCATCGTGCCTTACCCCTAGAGGAGGCCCATTGTCAACGCCCTCAGTGCCGTCTGTGCAAATCACTGACTGCGTTGGTGATACCTCTGCGTTACACGCTACGGGCTGCCGCAGTGATCTTAGAGCGTCGCCTTTCATTAGGCAATTGGCTATTTTGAAACAATTCTTCTCAATCGCAATTTTTTCACCCGACTTGCGTAAATGTATTTTTGATTGCTTAAACACCTTTGCTTGCTTCTCGCTTCCTTTCGGTCATGGACTCGCGGGACCCAGATCAGTGCCCAACCAGGTGGTTGTCTGCTGTGCACAGGGTTTTACAACGCTGTGGGCACAAACAGCGTTCCAAAGCCGGCCCGGCAGCCGGCTCGTCGGGCCGGCTCGCGCGCCGGAAGTGGTGACGTCACCGCACCAGCTGCGCCACTTCTCGCCGTCTGCACCACCCAGGGAATTCCGGGACTGGTGTGGCCGTCACCGGCCGTCACGTGACACAGGAAGCGACATATTTCGACACGCACGGCGGCGCACAGCGACGTTCAGTGTTCGTAAGCTCGCTCATCATCCGCACGCGCTGCGTGCGGTCCTATCGCCGAGAGACGCCGCTATTCGGGCGCGGCCTGGCGGCGACACGCCCGCCACCCGGCCGCCAAACGCATCATCCTGAAAGCGGAGCATGAAGCTCGAGCGGCTCGTAATCTTCATACACGAGGATCCCGAAGCGAGCCGGTCAGCTGTTGTCAGCTGTTGGATATCTGCCGCCTATCCAGGCCAGTCCGGAGAAAGCATGCGAAGCTGTCTGCCGCCCACCTGTCGCCAGCTGACTGCGTTCCGTCCGTCTGGCGGCTGGCCGCGATCTCCGAGGCGGGCCCACGCCGCAGTCACGATCAGAGGCGTAGCCAGGGTGGTGTCCAGGAGAGGAAAAATCCAGTCACGATCAGAGGCGTAACTAGGATGGCGGCCAGAAGGGGGACTAAACGGTTAATCGGGGGTGGTGGATCCTTACAGACCAGGGCGGCTTTCTTTAAAACTGAGGGTCCCGTATGTTAATTTGGCGCGAAGTCCCATTTCAATGTCCGGGGCTCGTTCCTATGTTTTAGAAGTTCCACAGGCGTCCGAAACTCGCAAAAAGTACTGTGGTCTTCGGATCTAAGGACTCTCCACTATCTCCACGGGGGAGAGGGGGGGGGGGGGCGGAGGCGACAAGGCCCAGAAGTCTTCCTCGGCTACACCACTAGTCGTGATCGCTATCTCCGCTGGGCCAAAACGGTGTTGGGCGGTCTCTGCCCCACGTTGCATGGCCGAAGTTTTGCTCGCAATAGCCGATAGCGTGCGGTACTGCTCGCTCTTTACTCCGAAACACTTACCTCTGACTTCAAGTCCACCCTGTCCTGAAGGCCGCCTCCGCACTGAATGACCTGCTCTGCGGCCGGAGCGTACAAACCCTGCCACCGGTGCACGCCGAAGATCAGCTTTTTCCGCTGCAGAGACCTGACTCGACCGCCACGTAGCGCGGCCGGGTCACGGGGCGTTTGCGTGTCACGTGAGGCCTGGTATGGTGCTGCTATCGCCGGCGGAATCAGCTGGCGTGCCGGCGCCGCCCGGTGGCCGCGGACCCGGGCAGCCCCGGTCCGCACACGGGGCCGGCGGCCGTGTTTGGTCACGGGAGGCGGACCGGCTGGCCCGATCGGCGCCGCCAACAGCTGGCGAGACACCGGCGAAGCAGACTGTGTCATCGAGTGAACATGGATCGTTTCGACCAGTGTCTGTCGCCGTCCGTACTGGTCGATTATTATGGTCACAAAAGAAAGAATTTCGCGTAGAACGCTGCAGTCTGCCGCTGTCATGTAACACTAGTTGCGAAAGTTGAGTTGCAAACGTTACATGGATTTGAAATGAAAGAACTGTGCAAAACGACGTTCCGTCTTTTGTGCAGCGTGTTTTGTTGTCACTCCATCATTCCATCCGGAACTCAACTTCTCAGTTAGCCCAAGAGCGGGAAGGCGACGAACACGGTGGCCGGGGAGTTGAGCCAGGCGACTGGCACTGGCAGGGGTCTGCAGCTGACACTGACACTGGCATTGACAGCGGTCTGCAGCGCAAAACGGGGAGTCACGGGTGTCTGGATCCAGGCAGGGCGGGGGCGGGCGAAGTATGCCGGGGAAAGGCAGGGTGACGTCACTGAGCCAAACATGTCACGCATGTCACACAGACTGATCAATGATGCCTGATCTTTCTTGTGAGCAACGAAGTGCGTGTGCCATGTCCGGTTGTTATGGATCTTTCTGCCGGATTTTGAATGAATTTTAGACTGGTTTGATGTGTGCAGGGCTTATGTGATAGCAGAATAACTTTCCAAGGGAGCGCGTCGTCTGGCGTTTTACCTAGGGACCATGCTAAGAACATAGGCTCTTCAGCCGCCGAAGCTGGCTCTTCAGCTGCCGCCAGCGCTCTTCGCGCGCTGACGGTCGGCTTATGACTGTGAATGTCGTTGTGCCACCTCGTTCTGAGAGCCTTCAGCTCCCTTTATTCCCACCGTCCGTCTCTAACCAGCGCCATGTCCGTACAGGACGTACACGATCGTGGCGCCGAAGGTGCTGCGACCGAACCTGCCGTACAATGTGGCCATCACCATCCTGGAAACCAACAAGCCGACCAAGGTCACCGTTCAGGTCGGCGGACGGCCTGACGCGGGCGGCAACGAGCTCAAGAGCAAGGACATCGTCGTCCAGCCGGGCTTCACGTCCATCCTGCAGTTCAATGTGAGTACAAACCAGTGTGACTCGGGCTGGTGACCATCGCATTCGCCGCGCCGCTTTCACCGCTTCCCCGCTTTTCCAAAATGTGTCGTGGTGGGAACTCTGTTGCCTGCAATCCCATCATGAATGTTTCCGCTCGGTAGCTTCACAGCAGTATGGTGTGTGATAAAAAGGAATGAGGCAACTTACGGAGAGGAAAGCCACAATAATGCGTATTGAGCAATGTCAGACATATGCTTTCATGTCAAGCTGAACTGTAGGCTTTGTTAAACTGTCTGCTTTTGCTTGAGCGGAAAAATTAATAGTATTCAGTATCTCTGCCAACAAGACACTCATCATTGTCAGGTCGAATTAAAAGCATCAAAGGGAAGCAAACATATGGACAAGCTCTCACACCAGCGTGCTTTAAAGGCATTTGCATGTCCTGACATCCACAGCACCACTGCACCACATCCAAGACTCAGCGGCCGCCGAAGCCGCGGCTGGCGGCCGGCTTATAACTGTGAATGTCGTTGTGCCACCTCGTTCTGAGAGCCTTCAGCTCCCTTGACTCCCAACTCCGGGGCCGACAACGCTCTGACCCACTGTCATGTCTCTCAACTAGATAGGTGCAGCACTGGTGACTCACCAGCGCTGAGGGAGACGAAAGCATGGAAACTTCCGGACGCCAGCGTTGTGTCGGAGACAATGACCGTCTTTTACGGAAGCTTGGTGTGCAGTTTTCCCTAGAGGCTTTGAGAAGCTCTGGGATGAATGACAATATTTTAAATGTTGTGCGTTCCCAGCGCCCATGCGTAATGAATACACTCACCAATTATTTGTCCCTGGCCAATGTCAGGTGCCTGCTAAACTTACTGAAGCTGAAAAGTGCTACAACACGAAAGTGAAAATTGAATCGTAAAGCTTCGCTAGGATTGTTTACATGACGTGACGGATGGCCCATGCAGCTCTTAGCTCCCGTGCGTAACAGGTGACAGGTCATTCTCACTCCCGTGCGTGACAGGTGGCAGGTCATTCTCACTCCCGTGCGTGACAGGTGGCAGGTCATTCTCACTCCCGTGCGTGACAGGTGGCAGGTCATTCTCACTCCCGTGCGTGACAGGTGGCAGGTCATTCTCACTCCCGTGCGCGAAAGGTGACAGGTTATTCTCGTCCGCAGATTGGCGACCTGGGACCGGGCCAGTACAACATAACGGCGGCCGGCCAGGGCGGCCTCAGCTTTCAGAACACGACGGCGCTCGATTACGTCCACAAGTCGTACTCGGTGTTTATCCAGACGGACAAGGCCGTCTACAAGCCGGGTGACTTGGTCAACTTCCGGGCGGTGGTGCTCAACCCCAGCCTGCGGCCACACACCGCCGGCAGCGTCAGCGCCTGGGTCACGGTCAGTGCAGGACCGAGGCCTGGCCGGGCCGGGGCAGAGCCGGTGTCTGGGCAGGGCCAGGACAGCGCCGGGCGGAGCCGGGGCAGAGCCGGGGCAGGGACAGGGCAGGGCTGGGGCCGGGCCGAGACAAGGCGCGCAGGGCCGCCGGTGGGCTCCGGTGGACGACGTCTTGCGACGCGGCGGCTGGCTGGCTCGTTGAAATCTCTGCAGCAAACAGAAGATGACATCAATGTCGCGATGAACTGCATTTTTCCGCGCTCGCTTGTTCGTCTGGAGCCCAGAAATGCTGCGTGCTAATGACCTTTCCTGGAGTGACAGATTTCTCGAACGATCGAATGGCCTGATCGTGAGAAAATGAGACCATTCTCTGGAAGCAGACATGGTGATTGTGGGAAACGGGGTCTCACTTTTTAAGCCCTGTCATTAAACACTGATCCGGACCACTTCCGACGCTCACAGCATCTGCGCACCTCAGCTTTCATCACCGCAGTATTCCTTCAGACATCAGGGGCCGCGTCACAAGTGCAGGCCTGTTGGATGGGCCGTTTATGCTGAGCGCATTGGCCCACTTACCATACCGCTCGTACGCCAGATTAAATCCAATCACATCCGCCACAACGGTGCACACCGAAAGCTGTTGGACGACGTGTGGATCGTAGTGAGAGGAGGCTTCCTCCGTGTTTCCAGGACGGAAAGGGGAACCGCATTCAGCAGTGGGACCGCCAGTTCACCACCAACGGCGTGTTCACGAACTCGCTTCAGCTCTCCGACCAGCCGGTGCTCGGTGACTGGAACATCACGGTACGTAGTCGCCGCCGCCGCCGCCTGCGACGTCACGCCCGTTACGGTTCGTGACGTCACTTCCGGGTGCACGGCGCGGCACGTCTGACGCCCGGTGAACGACTTTGTCGCGGTATCTAACGGCGAGATGTGCCGGTAACCGCACGCGACGCACGTGTACGAGCGGTAACACTGGGACGCGAGGGTAGCTGTGAGGGTACTCATGCGAGGGTACATAGATGATAACTCTATTCACTCCCACCTCTCTTACATCTCTCCACCTTCCTTTCTCTTTCTCCCGCCGCTTTTTTAATCCCTACGCCTTTCTACGGCCCTCCCATCTCTATGCTAAGCAGCCACCATTTCCAAGTCCCGGTGATCATATGCTCCGGGCTGTTGGACACAGGGAAACCGACACAACCGGTGTTTGACGCATACGTCTGAGCTGAGCTGAGCTGAGCTTTGACCCCCGGCGCCACCGCAGATCGACGTGCTGGGACAGACGACGAGCAAGCTGTTCGAGGTGGCGGAGTACGTGCTGCCGCGCTTCGAGGTGACGGTGGAGCTGCCTCCGTACGCCACATTCGCCGACACCACAGTCACTGCCACCGTACACGCCAAGTAAGCCGCCGGCGTTCAGCTCACACGCTCACGCGCGGCGCTGGTGCTGCTGTCACAATACTCAAGCGTCTTGATTGTTTTGGTAATAAATGTAGCGATGGTATTCGGAAGTCATGGTTCCAACGTGCGCCTGCCGTGGAGAACGGCACGGCATTCACCGGTCCCAGCGTCTGCATCTCACAGGCTCAGATTAATGCCACGTTTCCAGCCGGCAGCCTTGTTACACCTGGTCCCAGCATCCGACACGAGCTGACGCACTGTGACGCTGCCTTTTCCAGGTACACTTACGGGAAGCCGGTCAGAGGGGAGGTCATGGTGCGGGCGCACCCGGAGATCAAGTCCTCCTACATCCAGCCCATCTTCCAGGACCCGGTCCGCAAGTCATCCAGCATCGACGGCAAGGCTGATGTCTCCTTTGACCTCAAGGACGAGCTGGGGTCAGTCACCGAGCGGACTGGCACCGCGCGCGAAGACATATTAACCTACATCCCTCATTGGTTAACTTTCACTGCACCGTTTCTTGTTATTCCGTCCTGCTGGCTGTGATGCTCTTCGGTCGCACTGAATGCACGAGCCCAATTTGCAATAGTTTGTAATTTGTGCTGTTAATGACACATTTTTATTCAAATCAGCTCCCAATGTTTCGAATATTGTGAGGTTCCGTGAATTAACGCTCTTTACAAAGCCGACACAGCGCAGCTCTGAGCGAGCCACCGCTGGGTGTCCGCGCGCGCGCCGACTCTGAACCGGGCGCGCTGGCCGGCCGGCAGACTGACGGAGGACTACGAGCGCGAGCTGGTGTTCGACGTGATCGTGACGGAGGAGCTGACGGGCCGCGCACAGAACGCGTCCGCCTCCACCACCCTGCATCGGCACAAGTACACGCTGCAGCTGGTCAAGACGGCAGAGAACTTCAAGCCCGGCCTGAAGTACACCGCCTTCGTGAGTGACCCGAGACCATAGCCGCGCGCGCCGTTCCCGGTGTGCGGCAAAAGCAGCGCGCGAAATCGCCGTTGGGACGGTGGTGACGACACGTTAAAGGGAGTGTTCGATATCTGTATAGGAGTTTCAGTATATATCAGTATATAGTATTCAGTATATATCAGTATCAGTATCAGTATATATATATTCAGTATTTCAGACGCCTATAATTAACACACAAAGATACATTCGTTTTCATAACTTCATTAAAGCTTTATGCTTGAAAATGCTATGTGTACAATCTATTATCTGCCAACCTAAGCAAAGCGGAATCGCGTATAACCAGGGATTTTCAACACTAACGGCCAACGACCAGGCCGTCGATCGCCGCTGTCGTTTGGTGATTAGTTGGATGTGACAACATGCTCAGTGCGACGCAACGGGCCCGAATCTTTTCGTTCCAACAATTTGATACCTCCAGCAAATTTTGACGGTCACAAAAGAGTAAAGGCACGTCCAGCTCAACGCGTTTTATTTAATTTTACTTATTTTTTTAATTCTATTCATTCGAATTCTGATAAGATCTGGCCTAAATATTCCATTCAAAGGCTTAATTTGCGCACATCGTCGCTGGGCACATGCTTTGTCACGCGCTGTGTTACCGTACACATTGCAACTTGCCTTTCCTCCCAACAGCTAACCGTCACGTGGTCCTGACCCGCAGCTCAAAGTGGCAACCCAGGACGACGTGCCGGTGCGGGGCGGCCGCGACAAGGTCAAGGTCAAGTACGGCTACTCGTACAACCACGAGGACTACACGGCCACCGAGTACGACGTGCCACCGAACGGGCTGATCGAGCTGACGTTCTACCCGCCCGCCGACAACGTCACCCACGCCCTGGGTATTGAGGTCAGCTTCTCTTCAAACAGGCAAACGGGTTTGGAGGCTTCGTAAACCGACCGGCTGCCTAGCACTCCAGCGAGCGAAGCTATTCTGGGATGTCGGCCGGAAATGTGAGGACTACAGAGCTTTGCTCATCGGCAAGATTTGTTTCACTTGTCATCCCTTACCTACCGGGCCATGGTCATACCCAACCGGTCGCCATGTCTTAGCAGCTCTATCCATCCGTTATCCACCCGTTTGCATTTTCCATCCATTAGTTCTAAATAACTATAACTAAAGGAGTCGCAGGTAATAGCGGGGTTAAACATTTATTGAATCATTCACCCAACATTTTTAAAGCGTTTTGCCCCTACTCATGCCCGAAATTCTTCCAAAATCGGTATCCACCCAACCCGTTGCACATCGCATAGGGATATCAAGCTCTGAACTTCTTCCATATTGATATTACGGACAAAGTATTTTGGATTGATAATGTAACATTACGCTCCAATGCATGGTCCCTTTTTAGGCCAAAATTATTCGACAAAGACCTAATATCGTACCAAATCTGAATTACACCAAACTAGGACAACGTGGGCGAAATACATCGTTTCTTGCCAGGCCTATCAAAACAGTCGGTCAAAATTGCATTACAGATACGTTTCCTTTTACCCTCACGCATCTGTCCGTCATTTGATAAATTAGGACCTTCCCTAACCATGCTGGCGTGGAAAGGACAAGTAAGAAATAAAATGTAATGATAATGCTAAGATGAACAATATATGCTATTGAACTAATTCATAAATGCTAAGTAAGAATGTCATATTCTTGTGATGCCTCACCCCATTAGCGCGGCATGCCGCTGGCCAGTGTTGCGCTGTAGATTCCATCAGCGCGCTCAGTCACGAGCGGTCCCTGTCTGACCCACGCTGACCTCTGCCCTCCGCTGACCGTGCCCGCAGGCGGAGTACAAGGGCGTAAACCAGTGGTTCTCGACTGTGAACCGCGCACTGTCGCCGTCCAACACGTACATCCAGGCGGTACTGGACACCGAGGAGCCGCGCGTCGGCCAGCAGGTGGTCGTGCACATCAACTCGACGGTGCCCGTGTACCAGTACGTGTACGAAGTGCTGGGCCTGGGCCAGCTCCAGTTCGCTGAGACACTCAACGCCGGGGGCGCCATGACGCATCAGTTCAGGTGAGTGGCGGCTCGGGCTCGGGCTCGGGCTCGGGCTCGGGCTCGGGCTCGGGCTCGGGCTCGGGCTCGGGCTCGGGCTTGGGCTCGGCTTGGGCTCGGGTTCGGGCTCAGGCTTAGGTCCGGGCTCTAGCTCGGGCGGGTGTGCAGGATGAATCATAGCGAGGAATAGTTTTTGCCTTACAGTTTGAATACCTCCCGTGCGGGCTGTGGAATAGAGCAAGAGTGTTATCATGACTGCACAAGATGAGCGCTGGTATACAGCGCTCAACAATGGTAGAGACGGATAGAACATGGGGGTAGAAGAGGCATGCCCGCACGTTTGAATGTTAGCTGGGTTCAAAATGTTCGCAATGTAAGTCGCATTACTCCTGTACATGCGCGTCACGTTGGATGGCCTCAAGCTAAGTTAGACTGGCTGGTATTCTTAGAAATTATCCGCACGCGATTCATCGCCGTTTTAGGTCGTCAAAAGCCAGCGTTGCGTCATCGCGCACAACCAGATTCCGTGTCTTGTCCATGGCACAGCCTCATTTCCCCTGTTGTGGCGGCAGGTTCACGGTGCGAAAGGACATGGTACCCCGCACCAGGGTTGTTGTCTACCACATCCTGCCGGATGGCGAGGTGGTCGCCGACGCCCTCGACTTCGACGTGATGGGAACCTTCCAGAACACGGTTAGCTGCTCTCGAATTCGCTGCCGGATACTTGTCGTTGCTACATTCGCATCATGTTACATTTTTACTGGGATGGAATCACTTGTTCGACATCTGCTTTTGACGTCAGGATAAACAAATGGGCTACAAGCGATATCAAAACAAATCAAGCAATGTCAAAACTGTCCCAAATGGCCATACTTACAGGAGTGGGTTTGATATGCACTCCACTCTTTCGGTCAGGTGGAAATCGAGCTGGGTTCTTCCAAAGTTGAGCCCGGCCGGGATGTGGATATCAAGATCAAAACTCGCCCCGACTCCTACGTGTGTGTTCTGGGCGTCGACCAGGCCGTGACGGTCCTCAAGTGAGTATTGTACGGTTCTCGTGACGGTTCTCAAGTGAGTATCTAGCGACAGCGGTATTTTGACCAAAGCCTTCAGGAGTCGAACACGGGAGCGTTTCACATCCATCTTCACATCGAGGCGCTTGTGATATATTTTTTTTGCTTAAATAGCGCCATTCTCCATCAATCATAGCTGTCGCCAGCCTAAGTACTAGCGAGAGGAGCACTTAACGCCAACGTCTGGATGACAGTGATCAGACTGGCGTGCTCGGTGCTCGCCCACCGACTGTCAGACGTGCTGACGTGCTGACGCGCTGATCTTCTGACGTGCTGACATGCTGATCTGCTGACGTGCTGACATGCTGATCCGCTGACGTGCTGATCTGCCGACGCGCCGATCTGCTGACGCGCTGATCTGCTGACGTGCTGGTCTGCTGACATGCTGATCCGCTGATTCTGACGCATTGATCCGCTGGCGCGCTGATCTGTGACGTGATAATATGCTGACGTGCTGATCAACCGACGTGCTGATCTGCTGACGTGCTGACCTGCCGACGGCCTAACGCTTCGTCGCTCACACCGACCGGTTGACCTTCCCGCCGCGCAGGTCAGGCAACGACATCAGCCAAGCGGACGTGTACGCCGAAATGGAGAGCTACGACTCAGGCCGGCGGCCGGACGGCCTGCCTTTCCTGGAACGCCAGAAGCGGTCGCTATTCTTCTGGCCCGGCACCTCCACGGCCACCCAGGTGTTCGAGGTACGGACGATCGCGCTGGCGCGCTCGATCGGCGACCAGCACCTGTGCCAAATGTGGGACTGGGAGGGACCTAGGTAGGACCCAGGACCTAGGTAGGGCTTCACACCCGCGGTCGGAAACCGCGGATGTGACGAACTTTTCGCACTGGGTGTATTGCGCGATTCTGACCTACCCTGCTACGATCAACAGCATGCGCTGCTTTTTAATTTGGCACAAACTCTTGATGATCGGGCGGAAATATTAACACATTCTGGCCGTTTTCAATACCAGATGTTTCTTGGATACTGTTTTTGAGGCGTTATTCGTTTGTGCAGGACTCGGGTGTGGTAATGCTGACGAACGCCTACGTACATGACAGCCTTCATCTGAGTAAGTACGAATTTAATGGATCAAAGCATCCACGTGCAATGCACTGTCATCGCGTCTTACGATCATGTCTTATAACGGAAGGTGTTCTGATGATTTTTCATGATGATGACATTGACATACCTTGGTGACAATTGCTTGCTAGTTCTTGGTGCAATGCGGCTTTTTAATGCATAGATCATAGGTCAAGGTCAGCCACAGAGTCTGCTTTGTCGCAGTTCTGCTGTTGTGTGCTCCCAAGTTTGGCCCATCGCTGCTCCTGTGTGCGTGGGGGACGTGTATGTGCGTACATGTGTATGCATGTATGTATGTGTGTGTGGGTGCGTGCGTGCGTGCGTGCGTGCGTGCTTGCTTGCTTGCGTGCGTGCGTGCGTGGGTGTGTGCGTGCGTGCGTGCGTGCGTGGGGGGGGGGGTGGCCGGCGTGCTGACCGAGCTGACCTGACCTGACCTGACGCGGCCTCGGGCTCACAGTGTTGTATCGAACGTTAAACGACGACGACATGGTGGCCCTGGCCGCCGAGAGGAGTGCGGTGCATTTGGCGGGCGCGCCGGCCGGCGGCGAACCCGCCGTCCGCTCCAACTTTGTCGAGACCTGGCTGTGGACTAACGTGACGGCCGGGTACGTGTCGGGTCGCGGCGCGCACCCCCGCACCCGCCGGCGACGCTCCACGACGCATGCCTCAGGCCGATCGGCATCGGGGTCTGACTGGGCGGACACACACCTCGAGAGCATGTCGCCCAGTGGGGCGTCCTCCTGTCTCCTCACCACTGTCGGACTTTGTTTTGTGCCTTCCGTTCTCTTTCTGACACGACCCCCTAGGGAACGGCCCTTTGCTTGCGCAGCTGCCGTCTGTCCGTCCCCTGGTTGCGGGCTTTCCACGTAACCGCCTAACGCGCACCCGGTATGCCGCCGCTTACAGCCTGACACGGGTCTGACAGACAGCCGGGCTCAGCGTCGCTCATTGCTGACAGTACCGAAACGCCGAAGCCACTAACCGGCGGCGCCTCTGCTGCAGCCTACTACAGGTCTGGCGGTCTGGACGAGCCGGCCGCCGCGGGCGGTCCGCCCAGATACCTGGCGGCTTACCGCGGCCCGTCCGCCGACCGCAGCGCCTCTGGTGTCCGGCTCCGAACTAACTTTCCGGAGACGTGGCTCTGGACGGACACTCAAGCCGGGTATAACACGCTCTCGCGCCTCCTAACACGCTATCCTTGCCCGGCGGTAGCCGCCGTTCGACGGCCACCGCCGCTGGGACACGGCTCCTTCGGTTCGTGCCGCTGACGGGCGAGTCAGGGCTCGGACTCGAGCCCGACGTGACTCACAGACGGGACACGAACGGGTGGACTCTGGACGCTTCTTGTCGTTGGTCTGTCTCCGTAGTGGCACGTGAGCCGACTGTCCACGACGGGCGGGAGATCGCCCGGTCGTAACTCGGCCTCTTTCTCTCTCTCTTCCCACACCGCGCTCCGTAGACGACGGCGAGGACGAGGAGCAGGTCGGTAAGCGCCCCAACTCGCGCCCAATCCGCCCCCTGGTGTACCGCAACGATAGCACCGCGCTGAGGCCCGACCGGGGACCGTCCATCGAGTACAAGCCCAAGGCGCGACCGCCGCTGGCCGGGCCCTTCGCGTTTTTCACAATCCCGCCACCCTTCTACCACCACCGAAGGGTCAACGTACTGCGCGACCCGCCCAACACGTGGATCTTCAAGGACATTCCGACGGCGGGGTAAGGGCCGCCGACGGTCGCCGCGCATGCGCAGAGCATAACCCGTCCAGGTGTGGCTGCTAACGAGGGCCGTATGGCATGGCGTAGAGGCCGCAGGGACTGCCGCCGCGCCGTCCAGCGACTGCGACGGCAAACAGACGGCTCCAACTCATGAACCGGCGGCTCCGACCCGCAAACCAGCGGCCCCTGCTCGCGAACCGGCGGCCTCTGCTCGCAAACCAGCGGCCGCTGCTCGCGAACCGGCGGCTGCAACTCACGAACCGACCTATCCGAACTCACGGACCGGCCGCATGTCGTGATTAACCGCCGGACGTGCCCCCTCCCCTCTCTCTCTCTCTCCCCCTCTCTTCGCCTTCGCCGGCCGGCCGAGTGCTCATTGTGCGGCTTTGCTTGCAGGCTACCAGCCTGTGCCTCTTATCACCACCCCCGGCAAAACCCTTATCCGGCCCCCGCTGAGGGAGCCGCGGCCAGCGCCGCGGCCGCCGCAGGATTTCGCCTTCCGCCCTCAGGGGTACTCCCCGCGAACGTGGATATTCAACGCCACCAGACTCGGGTAAACCGCGCTCCGGGAGCGGCCCGGGGTCACGCGGCCTAGAGTGCGGCTAGGGCGGCGTATGGGCATGCGTGGCGAGACATATACAGCACGGGCTCACGGTCTTAACTTGGACCCTCTTCTACTGACCCTTAACTAAGTTTAGAATCCGAAGGTTCTAACCGACTGGGTTCAAATTTCGCTACTTTACCACGCGAACTCGCCATGGCCGTGGTTTTCTGCGGTGGGCTTGCCCCACCCGTGCCATTTTAAAGGGGCAGAAATAACACGCTGCTCTACAAAGGCATCACGCGGCAGTAGTTAAAATATCTACTAGAAATACTAAAACAAATAAGCACACAACCGAGGCCCAGCCCCCTATTAACATGGTTCATCACACAGCTTACTGTTTCCTTTTAGTTGGTGCCACGCAAACAACGTTCACCGGTGAGCTTCATTCATCCGGATTTGCTTCTCAGATCATCTGGGAGCAGCAGTCAAGACCAGCCTGTTGTGTAAAACGGCCAGTCTGGAAGATGACATGCTTTACAATGCAATACTCGGGGAACAATTGTCTGGACGTATCAGTTACAGCTTTTTAGCAGCACCACCGCTGTTTCGAAATAAATTGGTAGGGCTGGTATTGTTTGGATCCAGATTTAGAAAAACGTACAGCCCACATTCGTACCTGTAGTAGCCAAACGGCTCTACGTTAATATTAGGAAATTGTTTTTGGCGCGTCGGCAAACTTTTTAGAAAGTCTCTGTGTGATACAGTATGACACACTCTGTATCAATCACATCCCATGACCTAACTGTGTGATTCTTTGAGGTCGTGAGGTCTCCGTCATCTCGCCACCAAGCCCTGAACTTTTGCCCTGGACAACACTTTTGGTAGTTGTCCTAGCGATAAAGATATCGCGTATGCGGTACGATGCTGACCTTCCGTTAGCCCAGTCGATACTGTGTGTGGATGTTGACAAAATATTGGAAAGACAATACCAGAAATCCTAAACAATGTTACTGCTTGCGTTTCTTTATTGAAAAAGGGCAATTTTTTAATTTGTTTTTTGTTTTTTTATTACAAAGTTACAAATTTTTGTAATTCAATTTTGTTATTTTCGGGATATGCAGCTTGGCTCGCCATAAATGTCGTTCAAGTAATCTGTTGGGAATGAATAACTCATCGCTGGCACGGCTGCCACATTGCTGGCGCGGCTGCACACGTGTTTGCAGTTCATACGTCACTGACGGCACTTCTTCATTCCGCCAGTTTGAAGGATCGATGACTTCCGAATGGCAGAAAGCCACAATTTCAGTAGCTTAACCACAGGGCTGTCAAAAGTTGCCGACAGAAGTACCTGTGAATTGTTTCCTGATAAATGAGGCGCTTTGTGCGCTGTACCAATCGGTCGAATACGCACACAGGGTGGCCTGAGAGTGGCGGTGCAGTGCAATCCACTGCCCAGGTATACGTGCATGACGGCGTAGATAAGGTATTCTGGTATTCTTATCTGATCCGAGATAAATTTTGGCCAAAACCGTCGGATCCGTTTGGCTTGCACGAGCGCGCGCGCGCCGCCGTACACACCGATCTGCACCTCTGCCGATGCGGTTACCCGTTCTCTTCCCAGTCAAACTATGCTGATTTCGTCTCGGTTCGACCCTTCGTTGGCGAGAAAATGGGTTCTATAGAAATGTGGGCAGGAGTGTGAGCACAACCCCATGGATGGAATGGGCAAGATGGATTCGTTTAAGGGAAGGCTTCCAGCTTATGCCCCAGAAAACACACTTCTTTGAATTTTGACGACGTCAAATTGGTCTACCGTAAGGGAATCGTATTGACACAGTACAGTCGTGTCATGACATGCGCAGTGCTAAAATTTCCTGGCAAAAAATTGTCCGTTAAGCTGGTATTGCTAAAAAATGTGGTGGCGTCTAATTCTTCACTGAATAACATCAGTTTCGCAAGGACTATGATCGCAGAAGAAACCATGCAAAACGCTCGATTAAATCAGTAAGCCGATCCATGAAAAGCAGGTCTCAGCAGGCAGGCCGCGCATTAAGTGGTGAGCAGCGTTACCCTATGTGTGAAACAACGTGGTAAAGTGGCGAAACAAAGCACGTGTAGGGCGTAACGACCTTTGTGATTGGAATGTTTATACCTAATGCATCGTGGACGCGGAGTTCTCAGCCCTGGGCGTATGGCCTGCTGTGGAACATTCCTGGATGTGAATACGTTTGGCTATGGCTAATGTGACGGGGAAGGAATGCACAGAGCATTGCAGTCAGAGGCGCGGCGAGTCTCATAACCACACCTGCGACACATTGCAACAAAAACCTGTCGATGTTCCGCCGTGCCAGCTGGGTCCGTGGTCTGGTGGACAGATGTGTAACCGCCGGTCAGCCGTCGGCGGCACCACAGTCGTGAGGTCGACACCGCTGCTCAGAGCGGCCGTGACATGCGGCAGGCGGCAGCGGCCTCGGTCGACCCCGAGCTCGGACGCCCGGCTCCGACCATGCTGACCGGCCGCGAAGAGGGGGGCTGGGGTACCAGCGGCCGGCCGGGCTTGCGCCGCCCAAGAGCCGTCCACGGGCTTCCGAAGATGGCGGTGAAAGGACGTTCGCCATGCGCAAGCGCAAGACTTCGGAATCCCTCGCGACACACGGCGCTGGTGCCGTCCCACGCATGCGTGTTCGGTTCTCCATGGCTGCATGTCGCCTGTCATTTGCCTTCGCGCTCAGTTATGTGTCTGCTTGCGACAATCTGTTCACCAATTCTCTGCCACGCCTTCGTCCGCGTGCTTGCTTCGGCCTTACCGGGATGCATGGGTGCCGTGGTACATAACCATTGTTCTGCTGTACCGTAACTGTGTGCGTGCTTCCGTCGTAAATTAACTGGTCTACGGCTCAGCTTGTTTTGGCATGATGAACGTAGACTTAGTTAACTACAGGGACGTTTAAAGTACTCAAAGAGCTGAACTTGTGAGGCTCTCTGTCCATGAACAGTTTGGTTTATTAATTGAAGCAAAGCAGCTGCATTCAATACCTGACGTCGTCTCAGCTTGAGCCCATCGAACATTTGGTGGAGCTTTCGTGCATGCGTGCCACCAATGCCGCCTGGAAGCAGAGAGCGGCCCGCGCTGTGTTTGTGCATGTGTCATGGACGAGGAGCGCCCATGCTGGGACTGACGGCGGCCACCTGACCCAGCACTCTGGGCGAGGCGCGACTGAGGGAGCGCGCTCCCGACACCATCACCTCCTGGATGATCTCCGCCTTCTCCGTGGACAACCTGTACGGGTTCGGCGTCAGCGAGAAACCGGCCAAGGTCAGCGGACTCCGCCGCCCGGCGGGCCCCTCGGGCGCCGGTATGGCGCGCTTCGGAGCGCCGATGTCACGCAGCTCATGCAACTCAAACTCGCCCTATGCGCTGGCAGACGCGTACTCCATCGCGGTCACAACAATCAGCGCGTGCTAATCTGGACTTCTTGCTTTCGGGAGCAGATGACGGTCCGTGGAATCGCCGCAGCGCGTGCTGATGCCAGACTGCGGTACCTGCGGAAGGCGCCTGTGGTGTACGCTCGACATGTTCAGTGTGCGACCCTCCCAGCGCTGGCGTTTGGAAGCGTCATGATCGGGCATGTGGACAGCTCCAAAGCCACGTTCGACGTTCCCCGCGTGATGGCATGCGTTACGAACACAGCACCTGTGTGCGCAGCTGCAAGTGTTCCGGCCGTTCTTCGTGTCGCTGAACCTGCCGTACTCTGTGAAGCGGGGCGAGGTGGTCGGCATCCAGTGCGTCGTCTTCAACTACCACGACAGGAACATGGTGGCAGATGTCACGTTGGAGCACCAGGGTGACCTCCAGTTCACGAGCTTCTCTGACGAGGACGTCAACGAGGTGGAGTCGGAAAAGAAGGGTGAGTCTTCACCAAAGGCTGATACCTTGGGCTCAAAGAGGAGCCAATTCTCAGGCTCTGCCTGCTATTTGACTCGCTACGAGTGTTCAAGTGTTATGGAAGCCATACACATCAATGGGTATTGTGACGGATGTATATATGTTTAAATGTGTGCATATATAATATATATATATATATATATATATATATATATGTGTGTGTGTGTGTGTGTGTGTGTGTGTGTGTGTGTGTGTGTGTGTGTGTGTGTGTGTGTGTGTGTGTGTGTGTGTGTGTGTGTGTGTGCGTGCGTGCGTGCGTGCGTGCGTGCGTGCGTGGGTGCGTGCGTGCGTGCGTGCGCGTGTGCGTGTGTGTATGGCGTATGCATGTATATGTCGCACGCTCTGCTACTAAATGCTTTTAAGCAATGCATCGACTTATCGGTTTTTCATACACAGTCATGAACTTAGCTGCCACCATCCCACCAATTCATCACTTCAACCTCGTTCCCCACTTCCAGCCGGACCTCCAGAGCTCTTCAAGAAAAAGCAGGTCGTCGTGCCGAAGGGTGAAGGTGCCAGCGTGACGTTCATGGTCATCCCCCAAGCCCTGGGCCATCTCGACATCAAGGTCTCGGCCCGGACCAGCATCGCAGGGGACGCGGTACAGCGGAAACTCCTGGTTAAGGTCAGGGAAGCCGTGCTGCCGGCGTCCGCCGAGGCCACATTTGAACGCTGCAGACATGCACGCCAGTCCCGTGGAGCGTTTGTCAGGACCGCTATTTGGCACACGATGACCGTTAGTTATGTCCCACATCCATGTAATGGAACCTAGAGGACTTCACCGGTTAGTTGAACCCACGCGCATCCCCGTGACATAGGTAACGGGCTGGATTGGGCACCGATTTAGGAAAAATTACGATAAGTGTTCCAGTTTTTGGTACGACGTTCACGAGTTTTGAACAGATGCTTAAAAAAATAACACACAACGTTACTGCGTGTGCTTCTTTTAGTCGCACTTAGCTTTATTACACTACTTTCGAAGTCAGTACAAAACAGCACATTTAGTTGTACACGCTACTGAAACTCTCGTATAACTTAGGAGGCGTATGCGTCACGTGCAGTGCTCCCGGCCCCAGTGCTAAAGACAAACACACGAGTGGATGGCGGGTGGCTACACATGAGTAGGACTGGACAGCGGCCCGTTATGGGCAGTGCCCCGTGCGTAGTAGGTGGATTGGGCACAGCAAGTCTGACCACTGAAGGCCTCTGGCGTGAGCGTCTGTGTCCCTGCGTCGCGTCTCACTGGTGTGCTAAGGCAGCTTGCGAGATCGACTAACGAAGAGGGACTTTCTGGCTGCAGCCGGAGGGCGTGCCTCAGGTCATCAACACGGCCATGCTGGTGGACCTCCGGGACACCAACAAGTTCAACAGCTCCGTGGCCATTAAGATGCCACGCAGCTTTGTCAACGGCTCCAACTCGGTCGAGGTCTCCGTGGTCGGTAAGAGCCTAGGGCCCCGCACATGAGCAGTGTTACCTGTGCTTGTGCGACGCGCATCACGCATGCGCTGATGCACGGAAAGAGTGGCTTTAAAGTGCCCTGCGGTGCCCCGATACGCATTGCTGAACTGGGCCTCGCACCAGCATCTGCGATTTCCAATTCCCATTGACAGAAACGTCGGCACGACGGCGAACATGGTACGGCAGCCACTCTTCTGACCCTGACCTTGTTGCCACGTAATCAGATATGACGCCGTCCTGACCACTGGCCTATGTGATGACCTCCTGACCCTGAGCGTTGCCTGCAGGCGACATATTGGGCGGCAGCGTGGGAAACCTGGAGCGGCTGATCCAGCTACCGTACGGCTGCGGCGAGCAGAACATGCTGCGCTTCGTGCCCAACATCGTGGCGCTCGACTACGTGACCGGGTCGGGTCAGGTGACAGCCGGCCTACAGGCACGCGCCGTCGCCAACATGCGCACCGGCTACCAGCGCGAGCTGAGCTACCTGCGCTCCGACGGCAGCTTCTCGGCGTTCGGAGACCGCGACGAGAGCGGCAGCACCTGGTGAGTTTGCCTCCCGGCCGACGGAGCACCGCTCCAGCACTGAGTGAGTTTACCTTCCGGCTGACGGAGCACCGCTCCAGCACTGAGTGGCTGACGGAGCACCGCTCCAGCACTGAGTGAGTTTGCCTCCCGGCTGACGGAGCACCGCTCCAACACTGCGTGAGTTTGCCTCCCGGCTGACGGAGCACCGCTCCAACACTGCGTGAGTTTACCTCCCGGCTGACGGAGCACCGTTCCAACACTGAGTGAGTTTACCTTCCGGCTGACGGAGGACCGCCCCATCAGTTGGCGCGGCTGTCCCTCATGTCCTCGAGAATGAAGGCAGCGCTCCGTGTACTTGCCTCTGAGCTCCTCGCGACGTAACCACAAAGAGCTCGCGTCCTTCGGTTGTGTGATACGAGACTGTAATCGCCGGTAATATAGAACTAAGATCACTGGTGATGTGGGGCCGTGATCGCCGGTGATATGGGACCAAGATCGCTGACGATATGGAACCAAGATCGCCAATGATATGGGACCAAAATCGCTGGTGATTTGGGGCCGTGATCGCCGGTGATATGGGACAAAGATCGCTGTTGACAAGGAACAGAGATCGCTGATAACATGGGACCGAGATCGTTTATAGTCCGCTTACCAAATGTTCCTCTGGATGACCGTCAGCATCTGGAAGTGTCGACCATAGTATGCGACCAACGCGTGTCGATCCGGCCTGCGCCTACGCAGGGCTGACAGCCAGACGCTGCTTTACTGACCTGCCGCCGCGCGACAGCTGTCACCTTTCACCTCCGTCCCCAGGCTGACGGCGTTCGTGGTGCGCTCATTTGCCCAGGCGCGCGAGTATATCGACATCGACAGCAACGTAATGAAGCTGGCACTCAAGTTCCTTGCCGACAACCAGGCCTCTAACGGCTCCTTCCCCGAGGTAAGTCCCTGGTCCCGGTGCGACCCCGCAGGAGATGACTGAACCATGGACATGCGGGCCCCACGCAGACGTGTCTGCTGTCTCTGCAACGGTGTGAGGTCACCTGTTGCGTCACATATTGACCGGCTGCCTCAACAAGCTGTCTGAGTTGACAGCCACTCAAAACACTTTCCTCGGGTGAGCAGTTACCACACGGTTTCTGAGAGACACCTGGGTATTGCATGCTGCTCGACTCTGATGGCCATGCTAACTCATGATACGCTAATCTAGCCACTCGGCCCTTGTTGACCCTGGGTGGGTTGAACGTGTGCGTTTGTCCGCGTAGCGCCTGCTGAAGTCAGCCTGTGACCCAGGCTGACTTCGGTGAACCAGGTGTGTGGTAAACCCCGTGACCCTGGTTGACTTGGGATGGGACGGACAAGTGGCCTTTGTCCGCGTGATCGCTTCTGTGGTGACTCGCGCCGCCGCTTGACATCGGTAAGCTGGGAGAGACTTCGCTGACCCGGCTAACCTCACGACGCTATCCCGGCACGCGGTTAACACGGCGACATCAGCGGGCCCGCGTGCCGAGGGTGTGACCAGCCCCGCGATCACTGCGGACCTGCAGTTAGCCGGGTGCTTGTCTGATCTGCATCCCGCCCGAACCCGATGAACCTGACACGTGACGGGCCCGAAGCCTCGGTCGAGCTCGTCGGCCGGGGACGCGCCTGACCTGTGCCTCGGTCGCCCTCAGGTGGGCCGGGTCAGCCACCAGCCGATGCAGGGCGGCGCAGCTCGCGGGGTACCGCTTACCGCCTTCACCCTGCTGGCGTTCCTCGAGGCCGAGGAGGGCGCTCAGTTCGCGCAGAACACCAACAGCGCCATCGACTACCTGGTGCGCAACATCCCGACGGATCCGTACGAGCTGGCGGTGGTGGCGTACGCGCTGGCCAAGGCTGACCACCCGGGCGCGCGCGGCGCGCTGGCCCGCCTCGACGCGCTCGCGCGGGAGGAGGGTACGTACGTGGGCCAGCGGCCAATGCTCGCACGAGAGGAGGACAAGTGCATGGGCAAGCGGCCACTGGAGAGCAGGGAGACACGGCTGAAGCCGGACTACACTGCTAACATGTGGAGCGAACATGCGGGATAATTTTCCGCGGATTGTAAATGGGCTCATTCTTTTGCAGCCGGTTTAATCGATAGTGATTAAGAATGCCATGCTAGTCAACTGAGTGCCTGTGGTGACCTTTGGGTTTTACAACGCAATCAACTTAAGAATAAGAGCGTCGCTTGTCCTTCACCTTGGCAGGAAGAGAGGCACACCGTGAAGTCGAGCCTCCATGCCTCTACGTAAGGGTACGATTTTGCAGGGAGGCAAGTAAACCTGTCATTATGCGTACCCGCGAGGAGAACCTATGCAAACTCCGTTTCCGTGTTCCCCTTGTCGCCAAGACGAGACGGTCACCGCCTCTCGGGTGTCCGCCAGACGACCTGCGCTGGTGGGAGAAGCCACTGGAGTCGGAGAAGAACACGTCCTACTGGTACGGCAAGCCCCGCCCACTCGACATCGAGATGACGTCATATGCGCTGCTGACGTACATCGAGCGCGGCCGGCGAGCTGAGGCGCTGCCCGTGCTCCGCTGGCTCATGCTGCGGCGCAACGCCATGGGCGGCTTCCAGAGCACGCAGGTGAGTGTCGGCGCCGGCCAGCCGGGCGCGCAGACCGACTCAGCGTCCGCGCGTCGCCCTTTCGGGTCACCCACTTCTGTATCCACAGTGAAGACGTAGACGATGCGGTCACGATCTGGGCGCGGCGCTGACTCCCGCGATCACCGAGGCCTTCAGTCACCCGACACATGGAGTGGCGGGAGTGACCTGAAGTCGGCCCTCGGGGCACGCGCGCACGGCCGGATCGGGTCACGTTCAGACCCCGCGTTCTCTGTCGCTGATTCCTCCCGGTGCTAACGTGGCCCCCTGTCGTCGTAAGGACACGGCGGTGGGCATGGCGGCGCTGGCGGCGGCGGCGAACGTCCTTCAGTCGGAGGACACGGACGTCTCCGTCCGCTTCATCTTCGGCCCGCGCGGCAAGAACATGCGCGTGACGCGGGCCAACGCCCTGGTCACGCAGAAGTACGAGGTGGGTTCAGGTTGGCGGAGGCACGACACAGACACGAGCGGCTCAGGAGCGAGGAGGGGCGCGCGAGTCCGCGCGTGGCTGGCGGGTTACAGAGAACGCAGATTGAAGTGGTCATGTGGAGTATGAGCATGGAGTTAACATGGAACTCCATGCTCATGCAACTCCCGGCTAAAGCAACTCCCTGAGTAAATCAGGCTGTGATGCGCATGCGCATGGTGAAGTACCAAGCGTTCACGTACTGCGTCCACCGGTGTTGACTTCCTTCACGATTGGAGACCTTCGTGAGCGTGTTTCAGCGCCAGCCAAACGGCCAGGACTATTGGGTGACGTAATGTGTCCCGAACTGACCACAGTTACCTGAGCCGAACGTGGAAGACATCGAGATCAGCGCGACGGGCTCCGGCCTGGCCGTCGTCCAGGTCACGCACCGCTACAACGTCGAGGTCACGGGCCCCGACCCCAGCTTCTTCCTGGACCCCAAGCTGGACGCGCTCAGCAACTCGCGGCACATCAAAGTCAGCGCCTGCACGGGGTGAGTCGGCGTGGTGGCGCTAGAGTTATCAGCGCGGTTGCGGAGAACGGGACTGAGCGATGCGGGCATCGAGAGACCTCTTCACTGGAGCTTGCGTAAAAATAATCAGCCGGAGCATCGTCATCTGCTGAATGAAAATCATGCATCGATTGAGCCAGTCCTTTGAGACGAGTATCCGCAGACGGACGCCTCCAGGGGGTCAGAGGGGTCACGAACGCCTCAAGAGGGTCAGAGGTCAAGCCGTGAACTGCTCGCGAGCGCCACGCGCCGGGCCGGACGTCGACACACGGCTGGTGTCGCGCTGTGCCATCCATGAGTCTGTGGGGTCACCAGCACTGCCTGCCCCGTTTGCACCATGAGGCGACTCTGACCGGCCGGCGCCTTCCGGCAGCTGGGAGGGCGACGGGGAGTCCAGCAACATGGCCATCATGGAGATCGAGCTGCCGTCCGGCTTCACCGTCGACGAACAGTCGATCCCTGGCCTGTACAAGTACCGCAGCGTGAAGCGCGTGGAGACGGTGGAGGGCGACACCAAGGTTATCATCTACTTTGACGAGGTGCGGTCCGGACAGCGCGGAGGTGACAGATAGTTCAGCTTTGTCTTTCAAATATAGAGGTCGGTCATGAGCAGGGCTGGTTGCGTTCACCAGAAGACGAAACACTTCGTCACCCAATTTACAGCAAGACGTTCTGTAATGGCTGTTGCTCATTAGCGCTTATAGCTCCGAGATTCACAGTCATCAATGTGAGCAAAAGCCGCGACACGCTAACTGGCTTTGAGACTGGCGGCTGCGACCGCCCGTCTCACCCGACTCGGTCTCGCTTCAGATATCGAAGTTCGAGACCTGCCCGACTGTGCTCGGCTACTACACGGCGAAGGTGGCCCGGCAGAGGCGCTCGGCCGTGCAGGTGTACGACTACTACGACCCGAGTACGTATCGCTGCGACGCCACCGTGCCATGGCCGGGGTGTGTTCGTGCACCGACACTGTACAGGGAGCTGAAGCGGCGGCCACATTACGCCTCGTCAGCTATCGTCAATGTCAATATGGCATGCATTTGTTCCGACGCCGTCGGTCCATGCCGTCATTAGTCGCCCTGGGGATTCAAATCCCATGGGCTGGTCAATTGGCCCGTTACCTTGCAACACTAAACGTCGTTTTACGAACGCCAGAGTAAATAGGTTGAAGGTGTCACGCCCCCTCTGTCAACACATGCCTGCTGGGATTGAGGTGTGCCAAACTAAGCGCGGTACAGACTCGGTTAAGGTTCATACCCTTCAAATACCGACTAGCGGGACATCTGCTCAACCCGTGTTAGCTCCCATCCGGCGACCCCGGACGGTTGCCCCCCCTCCCCTCCACCTCCCCCGAGCGGCACTCACCACTGACCAGCGGCCTCCGCCCGGCAGCGAGGATGGCGCGCCAGTTCTACCTGCCGATCCAGGCGACCCTCTGCGACATCTGCGAGGGCGACGAGTGCGACGCGGAGCGCTGCAAGGAGGCCGACTCGCTGCCCGGCGTGGGCCCGGAGCCGGACGGCGCGGCGGCGCTGCTGCCGGCGCCGCTGCGGGCCGCGCTGCTCACCGCCGGCCTCGTGCTCGCCGTCCGGTAGGCGGCGCCACCGGCGCGACACCGCGCGGCCGACGGCGGCGGAAGCCTCCGCGTGACGCGCGGCGCGCGGACTCGTTGTGACTCGTTGTGACTCGTTGTGTGCGTTCGCGTGTTTGTTGGCGAGCCGTGGGCCAGGCTGAGTTCACGTGCACATGCGGCGAGGTCTCCGTTTTCACACGCACGTGCTGTGCGTCGGCCACGTGACGTTGCGGCGAGCTGTGACGCGTCCCCACGTCCCTGCCATCCCTTCGCGTGCGCATGTCAACCGGACCTCTTTACATGCGCGCGCTGTGAGCTCGCACGCGCCGACACGCATACGCGCCCGAGTTTGGCGAGTGAGGATGCGCCACGTGGCGCGGGCCAGCGCGGGTGGCGGGTGCACGCACACGCACACACCGCCGTCGCGCGGCACACGGCGGCGCACGCGGCGGCGGCGACGCCGCGACAGCTTCACCGGGGCCAGCCTGCCGGCCGGCGCCGGAGACGAGCTTTGAAGTTAACCCGGCTGCGGGGCTGGCGGGGGCCAGCGCCAGGCGCGTCGCTACTGATGCCTCTAATCTACGGCCGCACGCGCGATGACCCCCCTGACCCGCGGGCGGGGCTGGGCTCCGGCCGCCGACTCTTCCCGACTAACAGACGCAGCCGACGGCAGGAAGTGCGTTGAGAAGAGACTGTGAGTGGTGAATGCACGTCGGCGGTGTGGCCACTGCGCTGGCAATCAGGAGTTCGCGAACTAATGAGTGTGGAAAGTTGCTAAGGACGCGCTTTCCGAGGGGCGTCACCACACCAAATGTCATGCGTTATTGTAGACTTCGCATTGGAGGCTGCGGGCTGCGTAACGCGTGTTGCAGCATTGTTGACGTCTGGCAGTGGCCGGCCGCCCGCCAAATCAGCCGCAATCCACGGTGGTGACACGCCGACAGTGTCGGTGGGTTGTATTAGTCTGTATTTATAACATATGTGACGAAAATATACGTGTAAAACACCTTGATTTCCCATTTCGTGCAATAGCATCAGCCTACGCGTCACATTGGCGACGTAATCACGAGCGATTTATCGCGTGATCCAGGCTCCTGCGAGTTGGCGCCAGTGCCTCCGGCGCGGCGGGAGCGGCTTGCGGGTCGGTGCGGACCGGCGCGGGCGGCGTCGGCCGGCGGGCGCGCGCGGCTCTCCTCTGACTGCCGCGTCCCGAGGTCGGGTTCACGCGGCGGCCGTCACACGCCGCGCGCGCCGCTGGCCGCCGGCACGCCCGGGCCGGCCCTCCCGACCGGCCGACCTCAGCCCGCGCGCCGGGATCGCCGCCGACCTAGCGGAGCAAATGGAGGCTCGGTGGGGCACAGTTATCGTGCGAAAATACCAGCTTCTAGTAGCCTCTACAAAGTTCGGAGGGTGGGTGGGTGGGTGGGGCAGTCGTGCCACCGGCTCCGGTGACTGGCCCGGGACCTGGGAACATGTCACCTGCTCCCGTGACTGCCCCAGGACCTGGGAACCTGTCACCAACTCCGGTGACTGCCCCAGGGCTGGTGGCCAGGCGCTGGCACTAGTGGCGCCGTCCCGTGCGGATCACGTTCCTGACGTACTCGGCCATCTGGTTGTTGAGGCCCAGCTTCTCCCACTCGCCGTCAAACTGCTCCAGACTGCCGTACCCGCCGACGTAACTGAAACCGCATAAACGGTACGGTGTCACGACTGGCGTCGAGAAAACCACTCACTTCTCCATTTCAAATTGAGCAGACTGACAAAGTTGGGCAAATACTGACCTCAAACTGTACAGGCAGGCTCAGCATGTAGGAGTAGTATGCAGTAGTAGTAGCAGTAGAATGTAGTATGTATGATGAAGTAGATGTAGCATGTATGATGTAGTAGATGTAGTATGCCGAATTTCGCATAAATAATATCATTTTACTTGGAGAATTGTGTGTTGTTAACCCTCTGCTACCGGGTAGTGTACAAAGCCCGCGTGCTTCTACGAGCAGAATGATACGTGACAATGGCAGTGACAAACCCATCCCCGCTTCGGAAGGGATGACACTCACAACCGGTTTCCAACATTGCGATTTGAATAACGAGATGGCCAAGATTCCAGAAGGTTCTGTCCCACCCGATGCCAAGGACATATCGCCACCTGCAACGTCACGATTCGGTCGTCTGCGCAAACCATGCCATGAGTACTGCATCGCATTCTGGCCCGCAGCATTGCCATCGGCGTTTCATTCAGTCCATGTCCGAGCTCAAACTTTGTCCTTTGCAGAAATATTGCGACGTAGTGCAAAACAGATGACAACGCATGAAGCTAACGATGTCGCAGGTCTGGGTGGAATGGTAAAAAAGCCAGCTTTGTCGCCAGAAGTATGCTTAGGAAGGGATCAATACGGAATTTGGGACATTTTGCTGAGGAACATACACTGACTCGAATTGTGCTTTCCCGCCGCATACATGCAATAGGTTTTGTCAAAGACTTCGCACCTTAAAGATAAAAACATTTTTTTCAGAAGCATGGTTGTTCCGATCCTCCTCACTGCGTTCAGCTGAGACCTGACTGCACCGCACGTCTCCGTGCCGTGCCGTGCCGTGTCGTGTCATGTCATGCCGTGCCGTGCGTCGTATCGTATCGTGTCATGCCGTGCCGTGCGGCCGGCGCTCACCCGTTGAGTCTGGCGGCGGCGTGCGAGCGGACCAGCTCCTCGCCCGGCTCCACGTCCAGCGAGTTGAGCAGCGCGCCGTGCTTCTGCAGCAGGTACTTCTGGTGGTAGCTGCGCGACAGAGGGCGGCCGTTGGTAGCGGCGCCCGGCCGGTGCGGGCCGGTGCGGCCCGACGCCCGGCCCGGCTCACAGTGGCTGACGGCCGTCGCAACACACACACTGAGCCGCATCGGCCTGGCCTAAATTCGACGGTTGCTGGTTCCCAACCTGGATCGCAGGTGCCACGTGAAGGAGACCTATTCAATGTCAGCTCACGTGGCTAAGTTACATCTACCGTATTCGATCAAATGTTCGCTACTTTCGCCAGACACAAGTTGCAATCGACCCGCCCCTAGGCACGCTGCGCAGCGCAGGTCACACTCACTCTTCGGCGCCGTAGAACTCCTTGGCGGGCATAATTTTGGTGGTGATATTCTTCCTGTGCCGCACGCTCTCGTCTTTCATCGTCCTCTCCGCCAGCGTCTTCTGCTCATCGTCATGGTAGAATATTGCCGACATGTACTGGGAACGGTCAACGTGGCAACGTGGCAGCGGCTGCACGTGACGTCACGGACGGCCTGGTGACGACACCTGGAGCTTGATCCTGTTCATATGTGTGTCCATAATCGAAATGTCCATGTCCATGATCCATAATGCATATCAAAATGTCCATAATAGAAAATAAACATCAAATCCAATCCGATCAAGTCCTCACATCACACGGCCGAGAGAGAGTGGCGCGGCAGCTCAGCCAACGCCCGCGACCCTGCAGCAGGCACGCCGCGGCCGGAATCGTCGCGGTGACACACATAGCACCCACGCATGACGACAACAGCAAGGCCGGCGCCGAAGTCGGCTCCACCTCGGCACCGAGCGGATGCCGAAGAAGCTCACCTGTCTGGAGCAGTTGGAGGTGGGGTCGTGGTTACGCCAGAACACCTGCAGCAGGCGCTCATAACTCGTCTGCTCCGGATCATACTCGATGTCCACTGTTTCTGTGTGGTCTCCCCTGCGAAACGGCCGCCTCCATCAGATTGAAATGGAAGCTAGAATGCATCGCGGCGTGAATGCCAGAATGCCGATCACAGGGCGGGGTCCGCGTTTGTCAACAACTGGAAAGTCGGTTGTGATGCTCAATAAATCGCAGGGTATCAAGATCAAAATCGCTGCGCGCGTGCCTATGCGCCAGCTGAACTATCACCCGGACACTGCCGGACCGGACCCGTTGAAGCAATCCAAACCATTCCAGCACTCTGGCTGAGATTACAAGACGAGGGACATTTCTTATTCCTTGGTTATGCGATGCCGGACCGGAGTTACCTAGTGTGAGGCAGAACATCTCAACGAAAACATACGCACTTGTGCACATTTTGACGACGCGTAACCAATTCCAGTTCCATTAGCATGCTAGTAGCGCTCGAGCAACGAACGCGGCCCGACGCTGGCCTCGTCAGGAGACAAGCGCTCAGAATCGAGCGACGCCTGCCATCTGTTGGCATTACTCACAGGCTGTAGTAACTCGGATTGACACGAGTGCCGCCCGCGTACCCGACTCGGGTGCGGACCACCCCGGGGGCGCAGCCGAACTGCGCCTCCGGGAACCAGAATCAGGACATGCCGAACGTGGCGCGGCGCGTGGCCACCTGCGGCTCGTAAAGCGGCATGGCGAGACTGCCGAGATTCTGCAGCACGCCAGGAGAGGGCACATTCAGCTGAGGGGCCGGGAGGAGGGGAGACTGCATCACAGAGATTCCAACGGCCCTGATAGGCACTACTGATGGTACAGATTGACATCATTTGGGCTGCGGGAGTTGGGGTTCGCGAAGATCGGTCCGTCTAAGCCGGGTGTAGGGGCCAAAGTTCGCACGCTGGGTCACGTCGAATCGGCATGCTGGCGGGGGGGGGGGGGGGGGGGGGATCATAGCGGAACTCAGTCTGTGCGTTATGTTAACTCCCAAACAAAGGAGCGAAAAGCCCTGGAAACGGACACGTTAACCACACACATACCGTCACAACTTGTCCCTGTATGGCGCACGTACGGCACGGGCCCGGCTTCAGCACACACAAAGCCACCTCCTCCCTGCTCCGTCCGTGAGGCAGCAAGCGAGGGCAACTGCGCACACCGACTGGACGGAAACAGCGACCGCGGCAGCCACGCACAAACTTCCCGGAGGGCGACCCAATTTTGCCAGTCACGCCATGTGACGTCACCGGTGTCGGCATGCTGCAGCGACGACAGGGACGCTTATAGGATACGGCGTCAGGGCCAGCAGAAATCCGGAGCCGGAGTTCAGGGAGGCGCTGAGCTACGCTAGGAGTCTCGATGGATTGGGAATCAGAATCACGACGAAGACATGTTCGATGCCGTGAACGAGTACAGAACAGGATCACGCCAGAAATTAATACGATAAAGACATCTTTGTAGCCGCACAGAAATACAAACTTGTTTTATCACTTCAATGCATACTTACGAGTTCACGAGCTCCTTCACAGAACGAAATATTTTCTAGCGGCGACTTTGGTGTCCGTATGCGCGTGTGTCGTCGTCGTCATTGGGGCTTTACGACGCACTCAGCTGCTGAGACTATGAGGCGTCGCCTGCCTCTCATCGTAGCACGAAAGGCGGACACCGCGGGGAATCGAACCCCGTACCTCTGGTTTCCCAGACGCGCAGAGTTCAACACAGACGCGTTAACCATTTTACTTGTGTATGCGTGCTCAATGCTCGATGAGGTCCCGCACGTACGTCTAGCCATAATTTTATAGTGACTCCACGGGGCCCCGGCGGGCAACCTGGGTGTGCAGAAACATAATGCAAAGCACGGCCCCAGATGGTCCTTGCAACATTGGTTTGATGGCCGCGGCCTGGCCACAGCCGGGCCAGCTGCTCGTGGCCTGGCCGGGCACCAGCCAGGCACATGTTGATGAAATGACAAAGCATCGGTGTAAACAGGGCAGGCGCTGGGCTCCAGCTGTAACTCCGCCTGGGATACTGACGTGGCATGGGCAGGTGCTGGGCTCCAGCTGGGACCTTGCCTGGCCCGATCTGGCAGACGCGCTGTATACCAGCTGGGCATAAGTCCGTGCCAGGGGTGGGCCCAGCGAGAAACTTTGCGCAGTATAGAGGAGTACATGATCTCCACGGTGCACCCCACGCAGTAAAATGGTTGACTAAACATTTCTAGTATTGGGTAAGGCCAGAATTTAAAGTAACTGATTTAATGTTCAATATTTGCGCCGCAACACGCACTGGCCGAAGCATACGTCGATCAAGGTGCGAAGTTGGCCTCTGGCACTGTGCTGTTTCAATTTAGAGATATCTCCTACCCCAAATATGACTATTACACGGTTTGAACCCAAACAACCCATGCTTTTTGTTTGTGATCTGTTAAAGCCATACCTTACAGGAGAACGTACCAAATGTTTAGTCAACTTTGGAAAGCACTCCGCTTTGACCCAGGTCAGATTGTATTGCATGAGCTTGGCCAGTCATTTTCGCCGCATTTTAGAGTAAACCTGACATGCTGCTTTCCTATTCAAAAAATGAGATTCGATGATATCCGCTTCAGAATAATGACCATGACGTTGTTGGTTGCATTTGCCAGTAATGCCAATGTTTTGGTAGGGTCTACAGGTACCTGGCTGGTCTTGCAACCTGGATTCCAACACTGCTGAGAAATAGGACCTCCGAAGGCGCAGGAATTCATAGCTGGATGATTTTCGTCATACGAGAAATACCATAACCCTCCGTTTCCACCCTAATCTCACGCTCAGAAGTCGCACTTAACCGTGGTTAAGATTTAGGGACGTATTAAGCCAATATATCATTGTCCTTTCCAGGCTGCGAAATACACCTTTTAAAATATTTTTCGACCATTCCGATTAAACGGTTCACGAACTAGTGGGGCTCCGACAATTTTTAAACATACCTGGGATTTAAAAGCAGAAAACGAAAGGTTAATATCGAGGTCATGACCCATGACCTGCCAATCGCCCCTGACTGACATATGGCTTCAAGCCTCAAGCTCTTACCCTTACATCACGATCAATGCCAGCCGAAATATGGGATAGAGGATAAGTCGACAGTACGATGGGCGAGAAGTGCTCGCACGCTGGTGCTCAATATAACCACAGTTTCACGAGTAAACATCCCGCTTTTGAATCACATTCTGTATTCGAACTTTTACTATGAACAATGGATCACAGGATCCAACTATATCCACAGATAAGCACGGAACTGGAGCAGTTACAGCTCGGTAAAGGCCAGCTTCCCTGAAGCAGTAGAGACTCCACTTCCCAAATGGTTTGCAGCACGACCCATGACATGCCAAGCCAATGGAAATGTGTCATGTAGTACCGCCATGCGGACGAGGTGCTTCCTTCCCCGGTCCCGTGACCCTTGAAGCCATTTGAAGATGGCAGCGTCGCTCCCTTTTACGATTGCCGTTGTAATTGCTGGGTCTTTTTGATGGCGGCTGAAAAATGACATCAACAGCCGATGGTAGGAGATGGCTACTCGCTACACGATTGTCCTCCTGATATGGGCAATTACTCCCCTGACATGATTGCCCTCCTGGGACTGGGTATCTTTCTCACTTCTACCGCTTTTAACCGAGAAACCTGGGGTCGGGTTTGTCTTATCGGGTCGGGTCTCCGAGGTCGGGGATGTCTTATTAATTGGAACTGATGCGAATCGGCTTGGCCATATGCAACTGGAAACCATCGCACCGGAAAATAAAAGCGCAGGTTAGTCACCAAAAGTGAATGATGAAGCTGACTGGACACGTTCGAAATCGAAATAAAACGTCATAGCGCGTCAGATGCACAACGAGACGCACGATCCCTCCCATTATCGCTTGACTTCCGCCGCCGCTGCGAACCGACGCTCAGCCGGATGTCATGCCACCACAAGAACGATCCCCGACCGGCGACACCGGACTGATAAAGCCCCGGCTGGCGACTCGTCACCAGACATGCCACCCCAGGGACAGCCCCAACCGTGTGGCGGGCGGAACATGACCTGGTTTTGCCCACAGACCGTCCATGGATATCATCCAGTACAGTAGCGTTACAACGGGGTGCAACGGGATGCAACATGCTCCCTGTTGGTAACATCGAACGTAACTTTTGCATCGCTTTCGGAGTAAAAATGACACCCGTGCTTCAGACATTATCACCGCATGACGCTCAGCGTCCCATCCTATACTCTCCTGCCCATCGTCACTTCATTTGCCACCTTTTCACCCATGAGTGACGGGAGAAATCGCTTTTTGCGAGCTCCTTTTACCACGTTCATTAAGCACGGCGCAACCGGGATGCGAACCCGTACCCCCAGCGTCGCAGCCCAAGACGCTAACCACTCGGTCGTTACGCGCCAGTTTCGAGAAAACCGCTGAGATCCACGGGGATTCCACAGCAGCGAAGATGTTCTCATCTGACACTTCCATGACCAAGTGGTTCATTGCATCTTTTCGCTGATCATGTCATGGTACTCCTCAGCCTGTCTCACACCGCCTGATTCCTGGTATCTCCCGATCCGGTAGCCCCTGATCTGTTGATGCGACACCCTGCCAATTTCAAATTAATAAAGATAGTGCGCAGAAGAAAACAACGTGGATTGACCGTAACCAGATTTTACTATTGATGATAAGTTACATGCCCCGTAATCAATAATTGATCCAATTACTAGTAATACCTGCGGTGGTATTACTTGAGGACGAAAACGAGCATCCTCTAGCGATCTAGCTCAGAGCGCTAGATCGCGAACGCTCTAATACCCTTCTGGGCGGTCCTGGGGCGACTTCAAGGGATTGATCAGGGCAAGTCGTGGCTCTATTAGGAGGGGGCGAGGCAGCACAGGGCACGGGCCCCCCTGGGTTGGTTAGCTGAACATTTCCCTTGAATGCACATCGCTTTAAGACAGCCGAGGAGTGTATTCGCACTCGCCCGCCCATCTCCAATTCGCTTCCGCTGTGTGAAAATGTAGACAACCACGTCGATGTGGACCAGCCAGAGAACCTTCAAGACCGCAATACTGCCTTCAGACTGAAGACGGGACGCATCACCGTCGACAAGATCAACAGGATAGCTAACCATCTGTGGCAGGGTCAGCTGTTGCGCATTCTGAACACTCAGGGAGCCAGCTGGAGCACCTTTTGTAGTCACCAGTTAACACGTGAATTATCTGACTTCCAGCATCACTGCTCAAGAATTGACAGTGCCAATGCCACCAGTCACCATTGTGCAACAAATATACTTGCCATTGCTGAGGAAAACATTAGTCAATGTCTATCTCAACCACCTAGTACTTTAAAAAGAGGCTGCATATTGCAGCCTTTTTCATGATGTACCCATATGATCTCATGAAAGCCAGCTAGGAGCACAATCTGAGACTTATTTTTGGTTTGAATTCTCATGGACATTACCACGGGCAGTGGCATGTGGAGCCAACAGCTGTAATACAGTGAGACTTGGCAAGAGCTGAGTGAACATGTACAAAATGCAACTGAAATAACTGTTTAAGGCATCAGAGCAAATCAACACAACAGCTCATTGAAATGCCAGGCACTACACATACTAGCATTTGGGGATTTGTTAGACCATTCACAGTGTGAAGGTACTGTCAAAGGAGCCAGAACTCACTATAAAGACCACAAGCACAGAGCACATTGCCAAAT